TGTGATATGACTGCCCTTGCACTGTTCACTACGTAAGAACTTATTCACTATGTAAGAACTTGTTCACCATGTAAGAACTTGTTCATTTTGCTTCAGAAGATTGGAGACTGTTGAGAATTAGGCTTGGGGTTGATTAATGATTGTGCACTGAGTCCCCTATGCAGAATTTTATTGTTGTTAACAACCATTTGATCAATAAATATGAGAGATGCCCTCTCAAAAAGAAATAGTTAAGACTGTAAAAAAAGAAGAAGAAGGAAAAGGAGAAGGAGAAAAAAGAAAATGAGATGGAAAAGAAAGATTGTTTAGGAGAGTTAAAAAAAAAAATTTTTTTTTTTTTTTTTTTCCTTTTAAAATTTTTTATTTGGTTTTTTTTTGTTTTTTTATTTGTAAAAATTTTTTTTTTTCAGTAGCAAAGATATCTCTTGCTCTTAGAAATGGCTTTTACCATTAGCGGTTACCTGGCTCTTTGCTCAAATGTTCTCTTTGCCCATAAGTTCAACTGTGTCCAACCCAATGATCTATTCTTCTTGGCTCATGTCAGTAACATGTTCTGATTCTGCTCAGCCAGACATGATCTCTCCTGCTTTTTACCATCCCGTCTATACCCCCTATACTACCTGTCCTTATATTTATGCGGTTTCTATCATCTACACATAACTAGAGTATAAGGGGCCAGGCACCATCTTATTTACCATTTTGGACCCTGTAGCACAGCAACCTACACAGAGAAGGCCATGCAATGACTCTTGGACAGACTTTACTGTGTTCTCATTCTATCCCTAGGGGCAATCAAACCCGTCTCAGAGCCATGAATGTCTGACACTAACATGCTTATTCCCAAAGCTTTCCTAACTCATCAATGTGATATACCACATTAACAAAAGGAAGGATAAAAACCATATGATTATCTGGACAGATGGAAAAAAAAAGGCATTTGACAGAATTCAATATCCATTCATGATAAAAACTCTCAACAAAGTAGGTATAGAGGGAATATACCTCAACATAATAAAGGCCATACATGGCAAACCCATAGCCAACATCACACTCAATGGCAAAAAGTGAAAAGCTTTTCCTCTAAGATCAGGAATAAGACTAGGGTGCTCAACTCTCACCACCTTTATTAAACATAATACTGGAGGTCTTAGCCATAGCAGCCAGAAAAGATAAAGAGATAAAAGGCATCCAAATTAGTAAGGAAGAAGTAAAACTGTCACTATTTGCAGATGACATGGTGCTATATACAGAAAACCCTAAGGACTCCACCAAAAAACTATGAGAACTAATAAATGAATTCAGCAAAGTTGCAGGATAGAAAATCAATATACAGAAACTATTGCATTCCTATGTACTAACAATCAACTAGAAGAAAGAGAAATCAATAAAGCAATTCCATTTACAATTACATCAAAAAGAATAAAATATCTAGGAATAAACCTGACCAAGGAGATGGAAGACCTGTTCTCTGAAAATTGTAAGACACTGATGACAGATATTGGAGAAGGCACAAATAAATGGAAATCTTTCTCATGCTAATGGATAAGAAGAATTAATATTGTCAAAATGCCAACACTGCCCAAAACAATTCACAGATTCAATGCAATCCCTATCAAAATACCAATGGCATTTTTCAATGAACTAGAGAAAAATAATCCTAAAATTTATATGGAACCAAAAAATTTAAGTAGCCAAAGCAATATTGAGAAAGAAGAGTAAAGCTAGGGGTATCACACTCCTAGATTTCAAGCTATGACACAAAGCTATAGTAACCAAAACAGTAATGGTATTGGCACAAGAAAAGACCCATAGATCAATGGAACAGAATAGAAAAGCCAGAAATAAACCCACACATATAGGGTCAATTAATATAAGATAAAGGAGCCATGAATATACAGTGAGGAAAAGACAGTCTCTTCAATAAATGGTGTTGAGAAAACTGAACAGCCACATGTAAGGGAACAAACTAGATCACTGTCTCATGCCATACACAAAAGTAAACTCTAAATGGATTAAAGACTGAAATGTAAGACATTAAACCATAAAACTCTTAGAAGAAAACATACATAAGATCTCACAAACAACACATGAAAAATTTCTTTATGGATACGTCTCCATGGGCAAGAAACCAAAGCAAAAATATACAAATGGGACTATATCAAACTAAAAAATTCTGCATGGCAAAGGAAATCCTCAGGAAAACAAAAGGCGACCTACAGTATGAGAGATTATATTTGCAAATGGTGTATATGATAAGGGGCTAATATCCAAATATGTAAAAAACTCATATAATTCAACACCAATAATAATAAGAAGAAGAAGAAGAATCCAATTAAAAAATGGGCAGAAGACCTGAATAGACATATTTCAAAAGAAGACATACAGATGGCCAACAGACACATGAAAAAGATGTTCAACATCACTAATCATCAGGGAAATGCAAATCAAAACCACAGTAAGGTACCACCTCACACCAGGCAGAATGGCTGCTATCAAAAAGACAAGAAAATAACAAGTGTTGGTGAGGGTGTGGAGAAAAGGGAACCCTTGGGCGCTGCTGGTGGGAGCGTAAAGTGGCGCAGCCACTATGGGAAACAGTATTTTCCTAAAAAATCTAAAAACAGAAATACCATACAACCCAGCAATTATTCCACTTCTGGGAATTTACCCAAGGAAAACAAAATCACCAATGTAAAAGGATATATGCACACTTACGTTTGTTGCAGATTATCTACAGTAGCAAAGCTATGGAAGTAACCCAAATATCCATCAATAGATGCATAGATAAAGAAGGCGGAGTACATATAGACAATGGAATTTACTCAGCCATTAAAAAGAAGGAAATCTTGCCATTTCAACAACATAGATGGACCTACAGGGTATTATTCAAAGTGAAATAAGCCAGACAGAAAAGGACAAATACCATATGATTTCACATATATATGGAAACTAAAATACAAAACAAACTAACAAACAAAATAAAAATAGACCCATAAATATGGACAGCAGACTGTTGGTTACCATAGGAAGGGGAGTCAGGGAATGGGTGAAATAGGTGAAAGGGATAAGAGGTACAAACTGCAAATTGTAAAATATATTAGTCATAGGAACGGAAGTATAACACATAGAATATAACCAGTAATATTGTAATATCTCGGTATGATAACAAGGGTAACTATACTTACCATGGCAAGCATCTAGTAATGTATATAATTATATAGTCATTATGTTGTACATCTGGAACAATATAATATGATACATCAACTTTATTCCAATAAAAAAAAAGGAAAGAAAGCTTTCCTAACTCAAAATAACACAAGAATTCAGACTTATCTTCAGATTTCTCCCCTTCTGTTTACTGCAATCCAGTAAAGGAAACAAAAGAACTTCACATATTCTGTGAAACTAACTTCTATACTCCCCAGGGCGCCCCCTCCCAGAGGAGAGGCCAGAGACAGGTACCCCTAAACCGCCTTCTCCGCAGAGGTCTCCAAGCCCTGGGGCTGGATGGAGCCCCCATGCTATGCCAGCCTGTGTGCCACTTCACTACTCCTGAGAAGAATCCATCATGTCTCTGCTGAAGCTTGTTGTTCTAATGACTTTTTAATTATCTCCCTTCTTTCCTCCTCCTTAGTTGCTAACTTGTCAACTTAAAGAATTTCTTGTTTAAAAGCGTGCTACTTTTGATGATGACAACCACTCCAGTTAAAATTCCATTAAGTGCTTCACTCAGGAAGCTTATTTAAATGATCTGAGCCAGAAAGCACATCGAAGTTTCAGGCAGGTAGAAAAGCAGGGGTCTATTCTTCCTTCTGGGTGATCTTACTTGAAATCTGGGCACTTTGACCGACTGCCCAATTTTTATAATGTCATCAGTAAATAAATCAGTTATCATACGGCAAAAAAAAAAAAAAGCTGTTTGCTAATTTGGCTGTGAAAACTTTTTTATTTTCATCACAAAAACACTGGATTATAAAAGCAAAAAGATCACCTCTTCCAACCCCTAAATTGTATCAAGTTGAGGAAGATAAAGTGATGTGCCATAGGACCCTCCATTAGTTCACTGAGTGTTTTGCTTGATTCATTCATTTAATGAAAATTGATTACCTGCCAGGCACTGGCCAAGGTACTGAGGGTGCAGAGGTGAACAAGACAGATGAGGCTGCTGATTCCATGGAGCTTACATGGGGAAAGACTATCTGGGCAGAGGGAAGAACAAGTGCAAAGGCCCAGAGGCAGAAATGATTAAGGTAATTCTAAGACACAAAAAGGAAATCAATATGACTGAGGCATAGTGGATGAGGGGGCATGGCAGAAGCAGGGGTTCCAAGTCTCATAGAATCTGAAGACCGTGGAAGGGGAAATGTATTTTAAGTGCAATGGGAAGTCATTAGAGAATTTTATAAGGAAAACATCATTTAATTTACTTTTTTAAAAAACCATTTTGGCTGTCATGGACAATGAACACTGTCTCAGATTTGCTTTTTCTCCCTGTATCTCTGTTGTCATATGGAGCATTGCCTTGGTAACTAAACCGAAGAAGCCATCTTAATGTTTCCAGGCTAGGCCATCTCTAGTAGGGGAGACTGGAAACCTAGAGGTGCTTAAGGTAGGCACTGGGGGAGGAGAAGGCTCTGAGAAACCTTGCATGAGAGTTGCCCACAATCTACTTTTATGCAATGTATCATGTTAGGCTCTTTACCCAACCAGACTTAATCCAATTCCAAGAAGAAGCTACCATTCAGATAATGCTACTCTTTCATGGACAATTGATTTCAATTAGCCTTTTGCTGTAGAAAACATAAGGACAGCTAACCTGACTCTCCTTTCCACAAAGGCTGATGGGAACTATAGGTATTTTCTATTTAGCCATCATGTTCATTCTACTTTCCATGCTAAAGTAGAAAAGTTGTAAAATAAAGGAAAAGGAACTAGGGTCCAGAAGGAATGATAGGGAAGCAGGTGACAAGCAAAAGTGGGGTATGGCAGCTGGATAATACCTTTTTGAATACTTCGTTTTAGCTTGTTACACAGATCCACACGGGGGTTATCTGCATGCTCTTCTACAGATCCCGGGCTTTGCTCTGGAGAAGAAGGGCCTCTGCTAAGATCCAGTGGTACTTTACCAGCATGTGGTGGTGGGGATGCAGCAGGGCTGTGAGTGGCGGTAGGACTGCTGGATGCTGAGGAAGTGGTCAGGTCCAACGCTCCTATCCTTGAGTTCAAGGGAGAAGTCAAGGACAGCTTTCTGGCTCTCACTGGGGAGGATGTTCTGGACACAGCCAGTGGTGGTGGGGAAGAGAATTTTCTACACAGGCGTGGGGATTTGCCATCCAACAAATGTTCACCTCTGTTGTTTTGGCTGGTAACAAAGAACAATTCCAATGACCTAAAAATAAGAGCAAAAGCTGTTAACAGATTGTAGTCAAGGGAAAATGATTTCCCTGATGTTATTCAAGAACATGCTCCCTATGTTAAAAGACCGCAATATAGTACTCTGTTCGCAGATTTCCTTTATTTAAATACTACCTGTATACCACAGACACTTTTTAGGCCTTTTCTAATCCCCTGTGACTATACTGTGGTCCAAAGACCAGTAGCATTGGTATCTCTGGGGAGCTTGTTAGAAATGCAGAACTCAGCTCCACTCCTGAACTGCTGACCAGAGCCTGCATTTTAACAAGACTCCCAGGGGTGACTCTTATGCATGTAATTACAAAATAAAATAAAATAGAAAAACCTAAAACAACAGAGTTAGCTTCCAAATAATCACAGAGCAAGCAAAGGCAAGTTAGGGAGTCCTGGGTTCTCAATTTCTTCCCTTGGAAACCATCTGTGGACTCTATTCACCCCCTTCTACTAGCATGGTAAGTTCCAGGCAAGCTGAAACTGTGGGAGCAGCTCTGCAGAGCTGGGCTGCTCTTCTGCATTGAGACCCAGGGAACAGGAGGGCCTACCTGACAGGGATGGAGGTAAAAGGCCTCTTGTATATGTCAGAAAGCTTATCCAGCACCACAGCTGCTGTAGTGAAAATGCGATAGGTGTGTAGAAAGGTATTAAGGAAATCAATGCTAAGAAACCGCAAGTCTGTCAGCCGCTCCAAGAGGCGCTCCACACTGGCATAACGGATCTGGGGCACTTTGCAGGAGTTGAGTGTTTTACTGAAGCAAATGTCGGTGTCATCTTTATGAAGATGGGCATCAGACCTACGCACAAGGGAGGAACATGAGAACAAACCCGGGATGAAGCTCCCTCTCAGCCATTGAGTATTTCGGTATTTGTAAACACACACTCATGTCGGCTTCCTATTGCATTTGATAAAAGATGTTGATATGGCATATAACATACAAGATGTCAGGGCTATAAAAACATCAATATACATATGCCATTTTAACTTAGGAAGGTCAGAATTAATTGTGAAGAAGGAAATAATAATTCATTTCACTCTGTGGATTCTTCCTGTAGGGGAAGAAAAATAATTTTCCCTCTATGTTTCTGAGTTCTTGGTTGAGACCCCTGTAATAAAAGACAGATTAGCAAAAGCAACACAACAGAAGCTTATTAGAATGTTTATTTCATGTACACATGAGAGAGACCCAGGTAAAAATGAGTAAACTCCCTGAGGTGGCTTAGAATTCAGGCTTAAATACCATCTTAACAGGGGAGGGGGAGCAGGATACAGGCCTTTTCAGGGAGAGTGAATGATTTTTAGGGAAGGTGAATGGAACCTTAGAAGAATGGATGGGAAGCAGGATTGTGACCAAGTTAGTCTGGGTGTGATGCCAACTTCTAGTCTCCTCTCCTTTGATGAGATCCTCCCTGGTTGATGAAACTCCGGGGAAGGGATTATGACAAGCAACTGCCTTTTGGAGGATCTGTCTTCAGGTGGATAATTTCAGAGAAAGGCTCTCCCTCAATTTGCTGTTTTTTAAGTGCCTGTAGCTCAAAATAATCAACACACCCAAGTGATACTTTGGGTGGCCTTTTCTGCTACCTTCAGTTCTCTTTCTACTTCAATCACGTCTTATTTGGGAAATGAAGCCAAAAGCCTTATTTAGAAGTGGCATTGTTTATGCCCTTAGCTCAGAATGTCAGAAGGGCACTTAGAAAGTAATGGGTGATGTTCTCCCCGTGGAGGGGCGGGATGGAGAAACAGATACACTGCGGTATCTGTGGTTATTTCTTTTTCTCACTTCTAATTTTCTGCATTTGTGCTTTCTCCCTTTTTTTTGTGACTAAACTGACAAATAGATTATTAGGTATTTTTCCCTCTAGAGCTGGTTTTTTATAAATTCTACTGTTTTTCTGTATTTTAATTTATTAATGTCTATTCTCATCTTATTTCCTTCTTATACATTCCTACAGTTTTTGTCATTTTTTTCTAACTTCTTGAATTTAATGTTTAATTCATTTCATTCTTCCTGGCTTATTACTACATTTAAGGCTATCAATTTTATGAGTATAGTTTAATCCATAAGTTGTGTAAAGTATTATGTTTTCAATATTCTGCAGTATGAAAAATTATCTTCATTTTATTTCATGTACACATGAGAGAGACCCAGGTAAAAATGAGTAAACTCCCTGAGGTGGCTTAGAATTCAGGCTTAAATACCATCTTAACAGGGGAGGGGGAGCAGGATACAGGCCTTTTCAGGGAGAGTGAATGATTTTTAGGGAAGGTGAATGGAACCTTAGAAGAATGGATGGGAAGCAGGATTGTGACCAAGTTAGTCTGGGTGTGATGCCAACTTCTAGTCTCCTCTCCTTTGATGAGATCCTCCCTGGTTGATGAAACTCCGGGGAAGGGATTATGACAAGCAACTGCCTTTTGGAGGATCTGTCTTCAGGTGGATAATTTCAGAGAAAGGCTCTCCCTCAATTTGCTGTTTTTTAAGTGCCTGTAGCTCAAAATAATCAACACACCCAAGTGATACTTTGGGTGGCCTTTTCTGCTACCTTCAGTTCTCTTTCTACTTCAATCACGTCTTATTTGGGAAATGAAGCCAAAAGCCTTATTTAGAAGTGGCATTGTTTATGCCCTTAGCTCAGAATGTCAGAAGGGCACTTAGAAAGTAATGGGTGATGTTCTCCCCGTGGAGGGGCGGGATGGAGAAACAGATACACTGCGGTATCTGTGGTTATTTCTTTTTCTCACTTCTAATTTTCTGCATTTGTGCTTTCTCCCTTTTTTTTGTGACTAAACTGACAAATAGATTATTAGGTATTTTTCCCTCTAGAGCTGGTTTTTTATAAATTCTACTGTTTTTCTGTATTTTAATTTATTAATGTCTATTCTCATCTTATTTCCTTCTTATACATTCCTACAGTTTTTGTCATTTTTTTCTAACTTCTTGAATTTAATGTTTAATTCATTTCATTCTTCCTGGCTTATTACTACATTTAAGGCTATCAATTTTATGAGTATAGTTTAATCCATAAGTTGTGTAAAGTATTATGTTTTCAATATTCTGCAGTATGAAAAATTATCTTCATTTTAAAAAAAAAGGAATGGGTGAAATACAGGCCACGAACACTTCTAGAGATTCTCTGGGAACAGCCCTCACCACTGTGTCCCCACTACAGTGTGCTGTTTTTCTCATTCTGTAAAACCTCCCATCTGGCTGCTCCTCAATGGTGGCTGCACTGGGAGCCTGAGCGGCCTCTCCAGGTGGACGACCAAACCGGGGCAAGATTCACACAGCAGCCCTCCCTGTCACTGGCGGTGTTCAGAGCCCTCAGCCGGTGGTATACGTTTATAGAAAGGGCAAGAGGCAGGCAGAAAGGCAAAGTTTGTAAGAGGAAAAGCTTAGAAGCAGAGAATAAATCCAAGTGGGGCTCAAAGAAATGCAAATGCTTTCTAGGACTGCCTGGAGCTTTCACATTCCTTCCGGGAACCCCTCTTCCCTGCACCGCAGCATCTCAGAATAGGCACTCGACGAAGCCCTGGATTTCACTACTTGATTAAAGGATACGCTTACAGGGCTAGTGAGGCTCAGTGAGGCGCTTGCTTGCTAAGAATCAGTTGGCTTGTTATAAGTGCCCTTAATTAGTCCTTTCAGCACTTCGAGGGATTTTCCATTATATATTTATTTTCTTTTTGGTAAAAAGGAATCAATAGCTTTCTTAGCTTATTCTTGGAAACTTCCCAACCCAAAGTATGCTCAGTGCCTGCAGAAGCACTTCAATTGCAAGCCTAAAAGAGCATTTTAAATAAGCAGCTTTCCTCTGCTGAGGAGCTGACTGGGGGTGGCCTGCTGGTTGTAGTCACATTACTGAATTCACAAGTGCACAAGTCATCTCTTGAGATTCCTGAAAATAGCATGGCTCTTTCCTCCACTCACTATGTGACCCTCAACCAACTTTACTTTTCTGGTTCTTAAATTCCTTATTGGTAAAAAGGCCTCAGAATTGTCTATGAATCCATCAATCTGGCTAGAAGCTATTAAGATAATCACTTTTTCTCCCACCATTTCCCTGCAAAAAAATCTCTATTTTCTGAGAAAGTTGAAGACAATTATTATTAAAAGAAAGCAGGCCTTAATCTATATACACAAAATGTAAACACCATTTAAAGGGATATTTTCACCTAACAAATGTCATGATTTTGCAGTCTAATCGTAGTTTTGAGTTTTGGATCTTTTACTTATAATTACTTTAATCAAAACACTAGGAAGAAAAGATATGTTGTAGTCAACATGAAACTAAAAATAAAACTGGCAAATTATACCATTGTCCTTCACTGTTATTACATCTTAATTTTAAGAAAAGAAATTAAATTATGACATTATTTAATTTTCTTTTATTACACTGAACAAGATTTTACTTTACTTCCTAAGAGACTCTCAAGAAAGATACAATGTGTTACTTTAGCTTCCTATGATAATAACAACTCCTTTTGCTAAACACTTAAAAAAGCAGTCTTGAGACATCAAACCTAAATTACCTATTATAATTAGTAAGTTTTAAAAGGAAGTGAGTGCCTGTAAAGTGATGTCATGTCAGTAAGGCACAATTAAGATAGGATAATTTTTTTCTCTTAACTCTGCAAAATGTCTCTCTCTTTTTTTCTCATGGTATGTAGCTAGGGAAATGAGCAAGGAGGCAAGAATACAGAATTTAGAGTAGAAAAGGGCCATGGAGGAGACTATCAGAAGGAACAGAGATTGCAAAATCATACTCTTTTCCCTGACTGAGGAAACCCAGGCTCAGTGAAGCAGGAAAAAATAGAAGGAAGAAGTATATGAAACTCTGCCTTGGGAGTACATCTTGGATAGTATAGATGGACATTGAAACATGACTCTAACAGAAAATCCTTACAGCCATAAATACAAGTGTCTGTCCTCACAGGAGGGCAATTGCTACTCAGTCAAGTGTTACATCTGTGCACCAAAAGGCAGGAAAGACTTGGTCTGCAGGGGAGGTAGTTATACAAATAAGATTGGACATGGACCTTGGTCAAACTGCCATCATAGAGGACAGATGATGTATTTGGGCATAGCCATAGTCAGGCACAAAACCAAAGTTTTTATCCATGTTACTTCTTGAAGTCAACCAAAGGTATGTATGGTGGGTGTGCAGTCACCCCAGGGTGGAGCTTATAACTTGGGTGCAATGTCCAATTTACATATTCTCATTCTAAAGCAGTTTTGGACTTTTACGTCTGTCTTTCAATGAAGTACTTTAAAAAATGAATAAAAATAATATGTTATTTTGTAAAATATTAAAATAAGAATCCTATTATAGAAAATTAATAAGCAAACTCTAACCCAAGGATGTGAATTTAAAAATTAAGCCATAATTTGGACCTTTGACTTAATATTCCACAGTTGGTTTTAATCTTAGCATTATTTTTAAATAACCTGGCTTAAAAAAACTGTACCATATTAAAAACCTAGAAAATTGAATGCTTAAGAATCTTTGCTCTAGAGTTTGAAAATGATCCTACCCAAAACATTTTTTAATTTGACTAGTAATTTAAAATACTATCATTTCTTAATAATTTTTTCCTCTGTGGCAATTATGGCACTAATATACTCTGCCTTCATGTGATAAAATAATTAATAAGTTTTAAAACTTGTACCATTGGGATGATGCTAATTATAGGTAATACCTACCAGAAGAGGAAAGGAAAGTTAATGTTTTTATTGCCTTAGCATAAATAGGTCAAACCTAAGAGAATCCAAAAAAAAAAAAAAGGAATGGAAGACAAACATTTTTTTATTTTCATGTAACTTATTTGAAAGATAGAACCGCTTTTAAAAGTACAGTTTATTCTTGGAACTTGGAATGCAAATAACCAAGAAAATGAGAGTAGGGAATAATTTGGTCAGCTTCAAAATACTTCCAAAACAATTAATTTGGAAACAAAGATGCAGAGACAAAAGCATTACTACAGAGAGCTATGACACAAAGTTACTGATCTAACAGCTCATTTTAAACTCTAGTTTCCCTATTGATCATTTTAAATTACAGGATTTTCTCTGTTAACGAAAGATACAGAGAGCAGGATGGCACCCCTGGGCAGTAGCCTCTTGGGTAAATTCACATACAGGCAGTGGGTAGCTGGTGCTATGGAAAAGTAAGGTTCATGTTGAGTGTCTTCAAAATCTAAATGTATCTCTACAACCAAGTCTGAGTAATACAGTTCATACTCACTGGGAAGACACCAAAAATTTCTGCCATACTTTGGTCCACTCTCTGACTTTGGACATGTCTGACTGTCACAACTTTTTATATTGAATTTGAAAATCTTGATAGTATTTGTCCTGAGTGAAGGCATATGTAACAGTATGAAAAACAATTTTTCTATGTTATGGGTCAATAAACTATGAATCTGAAAAACCACTGTGATTGTCTTTTTACTTATAATGGCATATCATGAATTATTATAAGAACATATTCACAGTAGGAAGCAAAATCCTACTGAAGCAGTATTTTATCCAGGGTTTCACATTCTCTATCAATTTGATCTTGATTAAAATGTAAGGGAAAGGATTATTGCACTTACTTAATCATATGTGGCACAGTTACTTTGGAATTCTCTTCATACACTATAGTCATTAAACCATTACACCGTATATTGTCCACACACTGTGAAATTAAAAAATAGACAATTATAACCCACATGAAAACCTAGGCAGTTCATTTATTTCCAGAATTGTTTATAGCCATTAAAAACAATTTGGTTTCTATCTGTGAGCATGGGTGCGCATGTACACACACAAACACACACTCACGCACACACAGAGTGGTGGGTAAACATCACAGAGTGGTGAACAGATTCAATATACAGATACTAAAACTGTGCCAACACCTGAGACTAGATATAAGGGTTATCCTTTCCTGGTATGTATTCCCCAGGGATTCTCACCACAGTGTCACATAGTCACAGTTCTGTCTGTCACAGCACTCCTTGAGATGTTCAGACCTTCTGAGGGTGGTTGCCTGTGCTATATTGATTCTCTGCCCTGGGGAATGTTACAGAGCAGGCTGAGTAGAAATGGTGGCCTTAGTTGGAACTCATGTTCTGCCTCACCAGTAATCTCGGTGCCTGCTTCTCAGGTGTTTTTTGCCAGTAAATCCTTGCTTTTCTCTAGTTTCTCTGGCAGTTTCTATTGGCACCATGTTGGTTTGGTGAGGACGCATAGTGTAATTTCACCTGTTTCTGGCACACATAAAGCTCTGTTCATCTTTTTCTCTTTTCTTTCTAAGAGGAAAACTCTAGAACTTTTGTTAATTTTCTCTGTCTTCTTTATTTATATCTATGCCTTATCAATTTGAAATTTCCCTTTGCAATTAGAAAAGGGCTAGAGGATTTATTTTGAATTATACATATTCCCTTTGAACAAAACAGAATATGAGAAAAGATTTAAAGCATTCTTAAAATCAGAAATTAGCTCTAGTTACTAGGATACCATGTAGTTGTGTATGACTGTAATTAAATGGTGTGAAGAGGCTGATTGGTGCGGTGGGGGGGAAGGGCTGTATGGGGACAGGGGACGCCCAGAGCCAGGGCAGAGGGAGGGGGTAGGTGATCCTTCACCCTGCCGACCTTCCTAGCTAGCAATCAGACTTCTTTTCCCGTTCAGTGTTTCTGAAGAACAGTGAGGACACCACAGGGGAAACCAACACAGGGTTTGTGAGAATTGTGGGAAATGAACAATGTTCCTTCAATTTCCTTTTAACATTGTAAGTCAATGGCATAGCTATGCAGACAACAGCTTTAGGATGATTTAGGACTGTCGTTTCCATGTTGAGATTTTCTGTTTGGTTCTTTGACACACCAGCCTCATCCTTTTCACATAGTGATCTTTTCTCTCTCTTTTCCTTTTCCTTCCCTCCTTCCCTCTTCTTCTTTCCCTTTTTTCTTCTTTCTCCCTCTCTTTTTCCCCTTCCATCCTTTCCCTTTCTTTTTTTCTTCCTCTCTCCCTCCTCTTTTTCTCTCAGTTTATTTCAAACATTCTTCTTTTACAGTCTTTTCCAAGTTGCCACCCTGTTAACTGAAGTTCCAGCAAGGCTAGACTGTTTTGACTAGTGTCTTTGGACTCTCTTGTGGCAGATCATTTACTCGCTATCTTTGTAATTTTTTTATTTTGAGCACATAGTCATAAGCCCGGAATTGTAGAAGCGTTGCTGATGGAACAACTTTGTATTTGCTTCTACCAAGCAGCGTTGGGATTTCAATAGTCCAAGGATTGTTTTTGCATTAATTTCTCAGTTTGGAATTTTCACACCATGTGAATACTACAAATCTGAATTTCAAATCCAGAGGCCAGAAACACATCCATTTTTTTCAAAAGAGCTTTTTAAAAATTCAGAATTCATGACAAGGACAAATGTCCTTATTTCTTTTCTGGGCTAATGGATAGAGTTTTTAGAGTTCTTATTTCACAAAGCCTTCCAGTGTTCAGGCCTTAACAGAGATCTCAATTCTTTAAGGAGCCCAAGGCTACCTCTCACTCCCTTTGTTAATACCTCTTGTGCCTGAGACCAATATCCAATCTAAAATCATTCCCAGGTCTCTCTGTCTTCAGTATACAGGATTTCTGCTCTGACTCTTAGTTACTTTGTCATTTCTGACAACTAGAAATTTTCATTTAGGTCTGTAAATATACCAATGTATTAAATTATATTTATTATACTGATTCTTCATGTTTTTCATTTATGTTTTTGTAGCTAGAGGAGATCTAAATCAGTTCAATCTTCCACATTGCCAAAATTGGAACTTGAGATAAATGTTTTAGAGCCAAAAGAGAAGATTTATGTGACCAGCTTTGAACATCTCATTATCCAGTGTCATCTCATTCATCAATCTTTCTAATTCATTGTGTAAAGTATTAAAATTTTTTTCAAGGAAGAAAAAGAAATTTTCACTTACACTCAAGTTTCAGAACAAAACATACATATAATATGACCCATAGCTCGATAGATCACGTAACGAAAGTCTTCGTTTCTTAGAAGCTCCATAGACAGGCTTCAGTGACACCATGGGTATGAACAAATAGAACTGCTGGTGGCCCTGGGTCCACCCAGCTCTACTTTAACAAGAGTATTCTGCTTTTATCTCACTTCCATTTGGAACTTTGAGCAATACTGTACTGAAGAAAGAGTTCTCTTCCAGGAAAAAGTTGAACTATAATAGAATTTATATATATGAATGTGTTCATGAATACATTTATATTGGAAGTTGTTGAGTATATTCATGACCCTATAACATGCATCTTGGTTGTATTAGAGAAAAGCAAATAAGCCCTGAGAAAATAAATACAATTCACTCATTCAAGAAAAATTACATGAAAATAAGCAAGTATCACATATCTTTTAAGGACACATTGATGTGTTATGTAATTATGTGAATTACAGTAAACCTTGAAATTAATAAGATAACAAAAGCATATTCCTAAGCCATGGGTATTCTAGTTCAGTTTGTGATGACTATGACCAGGGTGGGGCCTGGAAGTACGTATGTTCATCAAAGCCCCACGTAATTTTGATACAGCTGGTCCTTGGATGATAGCTGAGAATGACTTCTCCAGCTGAGTATTTTAATTTAATGGTCTTGCCTAAGGCAACACCTGTTCAAAGGTCAGTGGTCTACTGTGTCACCATATTTTTTACCTTCTTGACACTTCTAAGTAATGGGAAGAAAGGTTAGATTCAATTTTGCCTTTCAGTTCACCTTTTTATGTTCAAGTAGAAAATTCTCTTTTGATTCCAGAGAAGCTATTTTAAGGGAGAAAGCATGTCAGCATGCTACAAATTTGTCTATACAAGGTCTATATTTTGACACATCTGCCCAAACGAAGAGTCTCAGAGGTGAATTTTAATTCTGTATTTTAGTTAATACCCATAATTATAGAGAAACCTGTTTAAACACCATTATGTATGATGATAAGACAAGCACAAGTGAAAGCACTACATTGAAATGAATGGTCAGATCTTCAGCCTCAAATTTTTCCCTATAAATAGATGAAAAAGGGAAGAATTATTGGTCAAGACCATTAGCCACTTACACATTTTGTTGGAGATGCCAACAGTTAATTATGGCCCTACTGGTATAACTAAAGGTGTAATTGATCATTCAAGCAATTGTTGCTTCTAAAAATTACAGCTTCAAAGTGAGAGGCCTGGCAAAACCAAAAGTCTTAATTTTTGTATAGAGTTCGTTATGTGAAGCTGGGATTGTGTCAATGCTCAGGAACCACTTTATTATCTTGGGTAAGCACCATCTGTGATTAGTGTAATGTGATACAGTAGTTTAGCAAGGTGACTTGAGATCAACTTACAAAAAAAATTAAGAGTTAGCAAACTACAGAATGACAAAAATAAAAAGACAAAATAATGGAGAACATACTCATAGTCTGAATTGAAAGAAAATGTGCATTTCTCTAGTTTGTAAGGATACCTCCAAAGAACAATACCATCTGATATAAACAGACAAGAAATAGAAATAATAGAAAATGTTCATTTCATTGGTAATTACAGAAATGTAAATTAAAACCTCTGGAAAGCAATACCACTTTTCCATTAAATCGGAAAATGTTATGAATGTGACAAAACTCAACATAGGTGGGACTTAGAAGAAAGCTGCACAGACACCTTGCTGATAATGTAGTGAAATGATGAGTCATGTATTACCTGAGGCACTTTGGCAGTCTGTCAAGTCATGAATCATGAAATCAAGAAAGTGACCAGGCCTTCTGTACCAGCCTTACCCACTGTAGGGAAGATATACCAATGAAGGACCTCACACATTAATGCCAAAACTTGGAAATAACTCCTATACCCAATTGTTCAGAAAAAGCTAGAAAAGTGGTAAGTCAATGTGGTAGATATATTCTACCACTATATATATATATATATATATACACACACACACGCAGTTCCTTTTTGTGTCCTTATATATTAGGGTAGGTATATGATATATATAAATAATGTATTATACTATTATATTAGAAGTTTCCAATATGAGGAATTTGTAGGAATATAGAAAGATGTAAAAGAGATAAAAAGCAAGAATGATGCATATATATATACTAGAGAGCCAGACAATAAAATCATTTATGTAAGGCAGGACTGTAGGGGTTTTAGAGATGGAAATAGTTGATTTTCGGGACAGAGGTTCTCTAATTTAGTTAGGCAAAAGTGATCTGTGGAGCTTGTTATACCTGGGAGGGAGTCCAGAATATGGGTTTAGGAATATCTGCATGTTTAAAAAAACCCTCAGGTAATTCTAATATAGTTATCTGTGGAAACTACTTTGATAAACATTTATTTAGTATGTTAGGTATTGAAAATATTTCTAGTTGCTTCTTGTGTCCATATATATATATATGTATATATAATATTAATATATAATATTAAATGGCACATTTTTAAGCATTTGGTAGGTTCATCTTAATAATAATGAATAGGTCCAGAGATATACTTGGGAAATGGACAAATTCTATCAATGTATGTATAGACATAATTTCCCCCATAAGATGAAAATACTTTAAGCAGAGAACAAAACCAGATGAGACACAGTCTGCTGGGCAGCCGGCTAGGCTCAATCAACAGTGGAGCACTCTGGCTGTACTACTCACCATTCAAATCCTGCCCCATCAAAATCACTAAGTGTCTCAGAACACTCACTATGGTGCTCAGCCACTGGTAGCAGCTGCCACCTGACTACTACTACCTCCTCAATACATTGTCCTCACTTGACCTGCATGACACCATGCCTTCTTGACTGTCCTACCACACTGGTGGTTCCTTCTCAGTCCTCTTTGCTGTTCTCCCTGAGCCCTCACTGAGTCCCTGGCCCTTTTCTCTTTTCGGATCACTCCTCTTGACATTGGACTCCTGTATACCACAGCTTACTTAACAGCTCCATGCAAATGTCTATCCAGACTTCTGAAACTCAACATATCCAGAGTAAGCTTTTGATAATGAGCCTCAAAACTCTTTCTCCAGAAGATTTCTCCACCTCAGTTAAGGACAACTTAATTCTTCCAGTTGCTCAGGCCAAAAACTCTGGAGTCATCCTGACTCTTATTTTTCTCTCACATTCCAAATATAATCCATAATAAAACCCTGTTGACTGTACCTTCAAAATGAATTCATAATCAAAACCCTTATCTCCAGCTCCATTCCTGCCATGCTGATCTAAACCTTTAACATCCCTTGCCTGGACGACTGCAGTAGCCTTCTCATTCACTGACCTGCTTCCACTCCTGCTTTCTACCCCCAGTCTATTCTCAATACAGTAGCCGAAGTGATCTTTTTAAGCTGGGATCATGGAACTCCTTTGCTCAAACCCTTTACTAGCTTTTCATCTGACTCAGAGTACAAGTTAAAGCCCTCCCTGATCTGGTCTCTGTTACCTCTCTGACTTCCTGCTTTCCTATTTTCCATTTCACACATTTTACTTCAGCCACACTGGCCTTCATGCTATTCCTCAAAATATGCAGTGTCCTCCCACTTTAGAGCTTTTGCAATGGCTGTTCCTTTTATCATATATACAGTCTTTGTTTCAATGTCTCCTTCAGCATTCACTGACCACCATTTTAAAACTGTACTGCCCCACACCTACTTTCAGCAAGCCAATATTTCTCATTCCAATATTTCTCATTCTGCCCTATACCTTCCAACATAAAATAGTATGTACTTGTTTATTAATCTATTGTTTTTCAATCCTCCCCACCTAGAATGTAGCCAGGGAATCTTTTGTTGCTATTGAGTCTCTCATTCATATTATATTACATGTGCCTGACCAGTGCCTGGCTTATAGTGTCTGCATGAATGTATTTGTTGAATGAATGAAATCATGTCAAAGACACACAATGTCCAGCCTCTACTGAATACAGTAATTTCATGAAATGATATTGCCATCTCTCAAAAAGAGACAATTTTCTGTTAGCTTCCTTCTCTGATTTACTTGTAGAATTTAACATGTTAACCAGAGCAATATGGAAAAAGAGGAAGAAGTTACTTAACTGCCTCAAGATGTAGTTAAATAGAGAGGCTCAGTTGGATGCTTGTGGCAGGCAGAGCTTCTTTGGATCCTTTCTTTAAACGACCAGACATAGATCATTCATGTACCCCAAGGGTCCTTCTCTCTCAGCAATGCCAGGTACCCTAAGGAAGGTCACTTAAAGCTTTGATCAATTCTGTATCTTAGGAGTCCCAGTTACAAGGTAAGGTGGAAGTTAGAAGCAGCTAAAAAAAAAAAAAAAACCCTATTCCTACCCTTATTTTTCCCCTTCCTACTTATCTTGGCTTCATAACACCTACAAAATTCAGTTGCATTAAGTTGTCCACTTCCCTTCCTTCCCTACTAGCCTGCCTGTCTCCTTGAAAGCCAGGATCATGGCTGTATCCTTGGTACCTACACAATACCCAGCAGCACATTACTCCGTAAACATTCTTAGAATCAATGAATGATTCAGAGTTTCATAAGGTAAGGGATACATTACAAACAGAGACTAAAGTATTAACTTGTACAGCATAGAGCTAATGAAAATATTAATAATCACAAGGATATAATTATGCAAATATAGAAGATCCCATATTTTCATTTCTTTGTTAGCCAGAGAAAGTAGTCCTTTTATTTCTAACTCTTTATTCACCATCAAAGCAGTCCTAGGGGTATATAAATAAAAATCTAGTATGCCTGTAGAGGGTGTTTAAAGTGCTAATGAAAGACTGGATTAATTTTGAGTCTTGAGTCAATGCAGTTGTGTAATTTTGGACACTCGGCCTTCTCACCTTCAGATTTCACCTTGCAGACAGCATGTCTTCTTTGATGTGATTCCTTAATTTGTGACTTCTCCCCACAGCCCTTGTTAACTTTTTTCTATCTCTTACCATTTTCCTACTTCAGAAACATACAAACAAACAAGACAATCTAGTGGAGTCCCTGGATAATTTATTACTAATAGAGCAATCTGAACACTGTCCAAGATTAAATGAGTACATTTACTGCATGTACAAAAATGCCCAGGAGCTAAAATGCAAGCATTACATTTCAGGTAACTTCTAACCTTAAAAAGAAAAACAAACAACAACAAATGATGCCAGCATATCAAGCTACGGAGTGGTGATGGCAGTGACAACAGTAATCAGATGTATTTTTTAGTAAAAATAAATAACTCTTAAAACCCTCCCCAAAATTTACATTTTGAAATTTTTAAAAAACAAAGAAAAAAACAACTTATGGCAAAAGGCACCCACTCACCTGACTTATGTCACTGGTCCAAGCAGCCTTCTCTTGGTGCGAAGGCGCTAACAAGACCACAGTAAAAGGAGCAGCGTTGGGAGGCTCGACCACTATTTTAAAATCCAGGTGTCCAAACATGTGGCCAGAACCTTTGGCTTCAACACATGTAAACCAAACAATTAGATGTGAATACAAAAATGTAAGTAGTAGCTGCTTTCACCTGGTTCTAGTAATATGATCATTATGTATTCAAGTTTAGAATCTGTTTTTCAGCAAAACAGTACTCCTCAGGGCATGGGAAAGGCTTTACTAAACTCATAAGTATATGAAAAAGCTGAGGTCAGTTTAGGATCCTAGTCTCCTTGACATTCTGTTTCCTGTATTTTAATTTCCATAAAGCTACAGAATGCCAACCATCTAATCCAATTCCTTTCTGAACTGCATTGAAAAGTCCTCTTCAGGAGACAAATTCAGTAAAATGTAAATTCCAAAAGATGGTTTAACAAGGCTCACCCATCAAATGGCTCAACAGAATTTTTAATTCGTAAATGACTTCAGAACATTTATTCTCAGCATCTCTCCTGCTTGTTTACACAGCTCTTTTCAGTTACAAGTATATAAAATACCATAGGACTTCTTTACTCTAAATCTTTTAGCGACTACTCAAATTATATCATTCTAATATAATTATAAGTGATAGAATGTGACTTACAGTCATCGTCGCTTGCATCGGGCTCCTCAATCAACGTACACTCTATTAGGGAGAGAACCCCACCTGTCTGGAAACAAACCAATTTTTCATTAAGAAGCTGAATCTTGCCTAAGTTGGGGAGCTCTGATCTGTAAACCTGACATTCAAGTTGCCATAGAAGGAGGCACAGAGATTCTGTATCATACTTAATTTTCATAGATTCCAAAATTAAACTTAGACATGTAACTCAGTGAACTTCATGATTCTTGTCCTGCAAGCCACTCTAACACCCAATGTTTCACAGTTCAGTAAGTCAGAATGTGGGAGACTAGATAGCACCAGAGGCCCTCAAGAGCGAATGCCGTTCAGCAAAGGGCTGAACTCACCAACCAGGAAGTGGTATAAGCAGTAAAAAGCCATCACCATGGTGTTGGATAATATTTTTAGACACCAAAAAACAGAAGGTATACATAGGCGAACTTTTCCAGTGAAGGGCCAGATAGTAAATCTTTTAGTGACTACTCAAAGCTGCCATTTTAAAGATCATGAAAGCTGCCGCAAACAATACGTTTAAAAAAAAGGTATGGCTGTGTTCAAATAAAACTTTATAGACAAAAACAGGCAGCAAGGTGTGGGCTATAGTTTGCTGACTCTTGGTATAGAGTAAGACAAATTAGCAAATACTACATCAGTACACTGCAGTGTTTGACAAGGTTTTTGTAGCTCAGTGGTCATCAACTAGTATAATTTTGCCCAGGTCATGATTTTTATTTTACTTCTTTGTAGTAATGTGCACTTAAATTTCTATTACTTTGGATCCAATAAACAACAAAGTAAGTGTCAAGGTTGCTAACTGTACATTACCAATGTAACCGTGATGATCTGTTTTATGATACCAGGTACGGGACAGTCATAATTAAATTAACCTCAATGCCTCTTAAGTGCACAGAACATAAGTGGAATAGTCATGTAAAACCCATACCTTGAGCAGATGCAGCTTTCCTCCTGAACTTCTTGTACAAATTAAAAAGTGTTTTGTAAATAAGAAGCATTGTCTTTCTCCTTCCTTTTTCAAAGACAATGAACCCAGGCGAACTTTACTAAGTTTCCCCCTCTCAACGGAAGGTACTTGAATAAGAGAACCTGGTAATCACAAAAGTGAAGAACACACAGCAATTAAAATTCTGTCAAGTGAGAGCTGTTCTTGATGCAATAAACAGTAGGGCCTGTTTCCCAAGATACCAAGGATTTATCTGATACACCATCAGAGTAAGTAAGTCCCCTACACTCTGAGCAGAAGAAACGATGCCCTGTGTTTTAAGGGCCAAACTAATTCCTACTATTTTTATAAGACACTTTTGATTTGAATATTCATGTACAAGCTGGAAAATAAGATTGAAAGAAAGCCTGACTGAATTCACAGAAGAGGCACTTCTGCCATTTGCCTCTTGGTGATCTGTTCTCAATTAATTCATTTACCTAAGAATAATGTACATATTATTTAATTACATATAGTAATAAAATAACATAATAAAAAGCAAATAGAATTTATTCTTCCTGAAGGACTGAAGGTTAATAAATAGCATACTGATAGAGCATAGAAAGTAAATATAGGTGTATTATAAATATACACAAATAACAATTCAATCTAAGTTAATTAATGACTATTTTTAAAGAGCAACTATTCCAGGTCATATTTAGATTCTGTGTGATCAAAATTCTCTGTGGAATCTGAATGGAAAAGAAACCACATAAAGCCTCTACTCAGAACATTCTTGGGAGCTTCAAACTATCTTCCATTCTATGTGAGAAGCTCTACATAGACTTTATGTACTTTCATACTAATAAGGGCCTCCCTCTGCCCAAAAACTTGAATTCCAATCTAAGTCAAACATCCAAGCATAAAGTACTAGGAAAACTTCTTGCAAATCCCTTGCCTCTGACTTTAGAAATGCCCTGAGCCAGTAATATTTCTACTATTTGTTTAATCCACCACCTACATCCAATGCTGCCTTACAAAGACTCATATTGGCCTCATAAGAACCACTGAATGCATATTCAACCCTTAAATATTAGCAGTGGTCATCACTAAGAGATGAGATTGCAGGCAACTTTATTTTCCTCTTCATACACTTTCTGGGTTTCCTGATTTTTCTTTTTTAAGAACACAGATGACTGCTATAAGTGGAGGAAAAGCCACCAAAGTTGTGTTTATATGTAATATGGTAAAACTGGAATTGTGGACCACAAAACACTCACATTAACATATGAATATTAACATAATATTCCAAATAGCATCCGCTTTTTAACAGAGATCTGAAGATGTTCAGGGAGTAAAGGACCCAAGCCTCCATGCCCTGATTCTGCCTATTTAGGCGGGGCTGCTTGGCGGAGGCCAAGTAGGCAGCTGCTTGGAGCCTAAAGAAAGGCACTGAAGCAGTCCTGGGGGAGGGTGTGGGACTGGGGAACAAAGGGCAGGAAGAGGGTTGATTCCACTGTGGGGAATGGGTAAGAGGAGAGTGATGCAGGAGATGAGGCAGGTGGGAGCAAACTGGCAGAGAGCCCAGGCGGCAAGCAATTCAGTGTGAAGAGTGAAGGAGAGGTGGAGAGAGCAGAAGGCAGAACACTTCAAGAAGTAAATGAGCAAGAGCAGCAGCAGGGTTGTGTTCACAGGACTCATGAGCTGGAATTAAAGCTGAAGGAGAACTTTCCGAGGATGTGGCTCACTCATCCCCTTTTACAGAAGGGGAAATTGAGGCCTGAGAAGTCAAGCTTCCCTCCTAAGGCCACACCTGGTTGAGTGGCACAGCCAGGATTCAGCGACATTTAGAAAGGGATCAGATGGGAAAGTGTTGTAGATTTTCCATGGGGGTCATGAGTCACCAGGATGATTGGCTGGGGCCGAAAGATTGGGGTTTAGGACAGATATCCTGGTGGACGAATGAGCTCGGGAGTCATTTTCAGAAAGGCCATAACCGAGGTTATGAAGACTCAATATAGTGTTCACTGTTAAGTGCTTCTAGTATTTAATGTTTGTACATCAGAAATTACAGAAAACACTGTTCACTCATATTAGTTATTAATGTGAATTTCAGCTTTGAGGTAAAAAAAATAAATGTTTTGTTGGCAACTGTACATTAATATTCTTAACCTATAACTGTTCATCTCATATCCAACTAAGAGACTATATGCTTAGGTAAGTACACAAAGTTATATGTCTGAATTAAAAGTGGACAATTTCAATACTTTGGTTTGTTAAATCATATTGGAAATAACATGTTAAGTGGATGTTTTTCACATTTCATCTTATGTTTCAACACAACCAGGAGACTTGAAGATTCTTCTCTTGTTAATACAAATTAAAGAAATAAGTAGATTATAGTGCTAACTCCTCAGTATCAGACCACTGGTATGATTCAGTGCTTGCATCTCTATCATTGGTCTAATAATTGGAGTCAATTTACAACAGAATTTCTGTTTCTGCAATCACTAAATTCCCATGGAGCAGCATTTAAGACTGGCTAATGCCCTTATTCTGAGCTCTGCTCAGTAGTGAAAAAGAATGAAGCACAATTTCCAGGGTATTTGTTGGGTGAGGCACTTAAGAAGATGTAACTATTTCTAGACCCCATGTCACAATTTCAAAGAACACTAGTACAGTGAAAGTCCACGATTTAGAGTCTGGGGTAATGATTAAGGTACCAGAGAAGCCCATTCCTTATTCTCCATGCATTCCCCTCTGAATTCAGTTACCTTTTTTCATTTTTCTGATTCACATTTCCACAAAACAGTGTTGACTATGCAGAACGAGTTTTGCCCCAACTATCAATTTAGAGTGCCTTTATCTTCTAATAATATCCATATATATTTCCTGTTACTGGAAATAGACACTCATTCCAAAATCTGGATTTGGTTTTTAAAGTCTGCATCATAATCTCACAGGCACCAGCCTAGATGCTTTTGTGAGCATTAGCTATTCAATCTTCACAACCACCCTAAAAGACATGTGCTACAACCAACTCCAACTGAGAGGACACAGAGGCAGAGATGTTGGGTGAACTGCCCAATATACACAGCAAGGAAGTAGAGGAGACAGAATTTGACTTCCAGGGACGTGTGTATATTGTCTTCCTGTTATTGCCTCAGACATTATATATTTGTTCAACAAACTTTGAATAGATTTTGGAAAATAAATGATAATATCAGATCACTGCTAAAATACAGTACCTTGCATTCAACTCATCAACTATCTTATAATTAGGAATTAATTTACAGTAAAACTTCTGTTATTTCAATCACTCAGTTCCCATGGGTTCAAGATGGGCTGATGCTATTCGAGGAGGCCTTTCAAATGACCTGGATAATGTATTTTTTCTAGCCTTGAGAATTAAAATTCATTTAAAATTGAAACCACACACATGCATACATACACACACACACACACACACACACACACACACACGCTAAAACAGACCTCATATCATCCCTAAAAGTAAATAACACAAATACTTGCATACAATTAGAGATAAATCAAGAAAATGGAATCCCTCAAAACTTGAAAGTGTTAAAAAAAAAAAAAAACACCTTTCAATGGGTTTTAAAGCCTGTGAAGGGTATTAGGAAAAGTGGTAATAGGAGCAACCAAAGCAAAACAATGCAAATTTCCCAAAGTGTCCATAATTGGATCACTTTCTACTTTTCCAGATTAAGGGCTGACTTTTTAAACCACCTTTATTGTATAATTCTAACAGACCAACCAAACCAAACAATACAGAAAAATATTGCTGAAAGGCAAATCATTGCATCAACATCAGTACAATAATAACATCAGATATATTAATAGCTGACAGAAGTGCTTTAAACATGTGGCAGAGAACAAGCAATAAATGCCATTGGATATGAATCAAAGGGAGAGGTGGCTAATGATTGTTTTTCCTCCAAGTATAATGAAAGAAAATATGACTTATTCAATATATTCAAGCTTTGAGAATTTTCTACCCATAGTTTTTCATATTAGATTAAAACAGTTTCTGTTTGTAGAAATAGATTAAATGTTTATGCATAACAATACTTTGCAATGAAAAGTCCTTTCAGAGATGCAATACTAGTTATACAAACTTTGGTTTTCATTCTTACATATTATAAAGCTCAAGGCAACTAGTATTTTTCAGTGAACTCCAAATATACTAAAAATACAAAATAAGACACCTTACAATCAAAACTGCAATTGAACAAGCCATTCCATTCAATCCACACCCCATTTTCCAGGTTCCATAATGGAAAACAGGGTGTTAGGCAATAGAGGATTCATAAACACTGCCTTTAGGAGCTATGATTCCTAGGAGAGAGAAGCATGCAAACAAGTACCTATAATACACAAGAGAATGAAATGCATGCACCAGGAACAAAAGACCTTGGAAATGAGGAAGAAGGTAAATTCATTCCAACTGGAGGAAAAAAGAGAGGATAATGGGGAGGAAATTTTGAAAGGCTCCTCAGAGGTATCTGACCTGAGCCTGGTAAGACAAGCAGACCTTCATAGGCACAAAAAAGGTGAATAAAGGCATTCTGGCCATGAGGCTGGGGACAGCGCATATAAAGGCACAGACACAGGCAACTGCTGGGGAGGCAGGAAGCCAGTATGAGGACACAGCCTGTGCAGAGGAATAAATGGAGCCTTAGGAAGGCCTGAAGGTACTAGCGTTATATTCCATGATTATTTACAGAAAAATTAATATTAAAAGCCAAAAATGAGAAAAGGTATCATTTCCTAAAATGTGCTTCCAAACTTTAACATATGTGTGATTTCTCTCCTTGTAAATAAGGGAGAATAGAACAACATGTGTTAAATTTTTTAAGTATTCTGTGCAATAATTAATGTGCACAGCATGAATAATGTATTGTTTGATGAGGTAAAACAGAATACTTTTAAGCAGCACATTTTGGTTAGGCAACAGAAATGCAATGTCTTCAAATGATAATGGCACCTGATAAGCAGAAATGACATTAATAGTTAATTCCAATTCCAAATTTATGTGCCACCCCTCACCAAGTTCAAAACCAAAATGTGTGCAATATATTGCCTCAAATAAACTCCAGGGAGCATGCTCCCCTCCCTCAGAACACCTAAGCACTTAAAAAGAACCTGGGATGTGTTTTACTTCTTGCACTTTGGAATGAGAACCACGGAGGAATATGCACTGTTAGGCTGTTATTTGTCACAATTTCTGACACAAATATCTTCAACTCTTCAGAAGCTTCATTTACTAGGTGATGCCCCCAACACGCATCTCACAAACAAGATACCTTCACCATTATCAAAGTGGGGCTGGGGTGAGTTGTGAGACATTTCATCTGGCAACTGGAGTTACCAGTTGAATCAAATCATATCATGTGGGGCTGATCCAGAAGTGCTGATGAAAAATGGGAACAAGAGACAGCTGTTTTCACTTCGGACATTGTCCCCACTGCTATGTGAAAGGGCTTTGAGTAATGCAAGTTTCTCCTGGGCCTTTGCCTGGATGTCGTCACCACCTGGCACTGCCATTCCAATCGGCCAGACCGATCTGTCCTCCTTGGAGCTGTAGAGAATGTCCGGTCCACTGAGGAGGAGAGTCCAGTCAGAATGTAATTTATTGTCCCACTGGTGCTTTACTATTATTGTGTTGCTGTTTTTCATGGCCCCTGAAAAGAAACAGCACAAAAGTGGGCCTTCACAGCCTCAGTCAAGGCCATGGGAATGTCCTGCAAGAACACTGTCAATCACACAGCTAAATCAAGCCTGCTGCAAAATGCTTTCCTGGATCTGCCAGTGGTAATGTGACAGTCACAGAGATCACTTACACGGTGGGTCTAATAAGTTGTTAACAAGGACCTACCTTGGCGGATGAAAGTTTGACTGGTGTCCAGCAAAATGTCACAGCCCTCTACGATCATTCTTTCTATTGCAAGGTTCTTCCTTATGTTCTCAGTGTCACTCACTTCATCATGCATTACCCTGTCAGACACAACACAGAGAGGATCACAGCACAGATATTTTCTATTGCCCTAGCAGGTAGGCAAAGAAAAGCTCCATCTGCGAAGGTAGGTCTTGAACTTGGATCAATTTAACTGGGGTTGTGGGGGATGCAGACTGCACCTCTAGGCTTCACCAAGTCATGACCTGAAGCAAGGTTAACAGTAAATGCTGAGTGGGTCAGCAATCAAGGAGTACCTGAGAATGCTGCTTGTAAATGCAACAGCAAAACATGTTACATTATGAACAGCTCCCTTCACTGAAATTAGGATGCCGTTTCTTAGAAGTGGAGTAAATTCAGACTTTTTATAGTATTTATCCCATATAAGCTAGAGAAACACAGATGTAGAGAACTGCCTGAAATACCAAAGTCACTGATAAATACACAATAAACATTTTCTAGCTTCTTGCCAAATATGAATACAAAAATACAACTAAAAATTGTCTTTCTGTGACATTGGAAGAAATGTGAACATCTCAATTACTTAAAGTCACATGTAACTGAATCTATAAAACATCTTCAAAGATGTCTTCTTTTCTTGGTTAAAATCAATGTGGGTGCTGATTAAGTATCAACTCAACAGCTAGCGTTGAGTACTCAGGGGAATCTGTGAAGCTGGACTACATCTCATTTCTTGTTCCCTGGACATATGTATTAGGTTTCCACAGAAATCAACTTGCTGCTTTCCCATATCAGGCCTTTATTATATGTGCTCCACATACCTAGACAGTTCTTCTAGTTTTGATTTTGCAAACTCCAGACTTTTCCTCTCCACATGTTCATGGGGTGTATGAGCTAGGAGTTCATGAAGTGTGATGATATACCTGGGGATCTAAATGCAAAGACCAGCGTGAGCAGAGTCAGGATGAGAAACACTGAGACACTCCCTGCTCTGCTATCAGTGCCTCCCAGAAGCTCATCTTGACTTTTATAGTTTTGATTCACAGTTTCACAAATATGTTTTTTAAGAAGTACATTTCAAATGAACCATGCTTCAAACTTCACACATACACTTCACCAAGACCACATAAGTGAGTAATAAAGTATTATATTACAAGGAAACAATTTTTCTATAGATGTTCAATATAATCATATATTTCTTAATAATAACATTTCAACATTGGTTCATAGGGGAACAGATACAGCTATCACCAAGTCACTTGAGTCTGCATTTTAAATATATTTGCCTGTTTACAAAATTTTTTAAAAATCGATAATACTACAGCAATGTAGTATTCTTCTTAAAGAGAAGAATTAAAACTTGGGAGAAGAAGACACATTCAGCCTTATTACATTCTGATCCTACTTTACCTCAAGTCATCCTCCTGGCAGTAAAAAGTATTGCTTGATTAGATTATTTATTTGTGCACTTGTTAATGAACAGACTATCTGAATTCTGTCAAATGCAGAAACTCCACCAACCCTATGAAGGTCTTAATAGACCACAGAGAGATTTAACTCGTCATATGATCAAGCATATTTATTTTTTATTGGCTTATAAACTAAAAATGTTTAGAAAGCATGTGCAGTGGTTTTAATTTTAATAACATGAACCACAGCTACCATAACACTGCCTACTATGGATTGCATTGGAGCGCAAGGTTTGCTTGTGGACCTAATATTCCAGCAACATAAGGATTACTTCCCCATTTTATAGAGATATAGAAACAAAGTGCGAAGGTTTGGTAACTTGTCTGAGGTGGTCTCATAGTTAATGGCAGAGCCAGCCATGAGCCCAGTTCTGACCAGTGCACAAACCCACTGCAGGTACTAGGGTCTCACTCCAAACTTGAGAGGACCTCTGAGAATGCAGAAAGTATAACAGCTTCCAGGACCCCATGGGTAAGTCCTTCCATGCTGTCCTGAGGCATCGGCAGCTCTGGCCACAGATCTACTTTTGCTTTCATGCAGGTGGTAGCCTTCACTGGGTTATTTGCTAATATTTGTTGTTTACTAATGTAGCCACATTTATACATAGGCACCAAGGGCAGAGCCTTCAGCACAGGTCATCTATCTGCAGCTCATACTCTGGGGTTGTGTCCTAGGGAATGTCATCAAGTTAAGGTTTGGGAAAGGCAGACCTCCTTGTAGGCGGGTGGGGCACAGGAGACCCCTCCCTCAGGAGACATGTGGAGGACGTTTCCTATCTCTCCATCCCATAAACTTCTCACTAAGATGGCCTGCAGGGCCATCCCACTTGGTGAAGGCCCCTGAGCTCAGGATGCTTTCAAATGTCCCTTCTGTACAATGCCATGATTGATAACAGTTTGCTTCTAAATTACTTCTACAAGAAAATCAAGGCAATCAACAGCTAATGTACTCAATTTTTCATAACAAAGAGGACAGGAGTGGGAGAGCCTGACTACTTATAATGTGCTGAAAACCCACAAAACCAAGTTTAGTCAATAGCTTTATGATCCTCCCCCATTAATTAAATCTATTTCAGAGAGCTCCTTGGCTAAGATTCAAGTGGATAGATTTGAAATTTAGTAACTGGCCCTTTCCACTTTCTGGTGGAGGAACAAACAAGCCTGAAGCTGCCTAAAAGCAGGCAAAGGATGTTCTTACGGAGAAACGGACAGCTCTCCAAAGAGCTCATCTGTATATTCAAGAGCTAATTATAAATCTGTTTCCAAAGAGGCCAAAAATCATAGTAAGTCCTGTCTAAATGAATCATAATTCTGCTTTCAATTATGGAACAGTACTGGTCATTTTATAGACATCAATTCACTTGCTCTCCCATTACAGTAAATAGGGGGCTAGCAGCAAGTGGATACTTTCTGGAGAACATCTAACAGCACTGTTCTTGTCAGGACAGATTTCATGAACAGCTTACCTGTGGACGTAGGAGCAGCTGAAGTCAATTTAAACAGTACCAGCCAAGTCACTGTCTTTGCTAAATACAAATTGTTACTGACTGCATTGTTTTCCATAACAAATTTCTTAGGAACACTGATAGTTCAGCTGAGGATAAATTTAGTGATCATCCAAATTCTATAAATTCCTTCAAGTTTCCGTAATTCAACATAGTTCACTGACAGCAACAATCAACTCCCTCAACAAAGGACCCATTAGAAAGAGGTAGAATATAACACTTTTCTCTCCTGTGCATATACAGGTTAAAAGCCGCCAATCACCTCCCTTTCTTCCCCTGCCCCACACCAACCTCCGCCTTAAGAAAAAGTCTGGGCAGATGCCCCTTGCTAGTATGAACTACGGTCATGTCTTCCACTGTTGTCTTGTAGAAAAAAAGTGTAGGCGCCCGCCTCACCCTAAGGTTTCCAGCTTAGGCCAGAGAAAGGCTGAAATGCAGAAGAACCACTCCTGCTACAGTGCATGCACAGGGAAGTAGGTCCATCTGGGCCGCCTGAGGGAGCAAACGCTTTCATGTCTATTTCACCTGTTATGAAAGGACCAAAAGGGAAGAAGGACAGACTGAACCTAGTAAGAAAGAACCTCCAACCTTTAACAAAGGGCAATTTCCCTGAAATGTTCCATACGGTCACTCTTAGAAAGAAAGCAGGAGGAGAGATACAACAAGACAGTGAACAAGATAATTGGACAGCACACTCTGCTGATTTCCTTTCTCGGTCTGTTAAAAAGCTATGAGATGCAAATACACAAGCTCCTTCAATTTCAGTGCTTTTTTGATTTGCACATTTCTTGCAGTTGGACCAATTCTGGCTAAATTCTTCAAGTTTGAGGCTTTTCCCAGAGTAGTGGTTCTCATAGCTGAAGCCTTTGGTTAACCTGGTCTGGACGAAGCCAGGGAACTTCAATATCTGATCCTTCAGCTAAATTCTAGGGTTTGGGACCACCACAGTCTCGGGAGGGGAGGCCCAGGCTCCTTGCACCACGTAGTTACCCAACACCAACTGGCAGAACCAGTCTTGTTCCCTAGGATCACACAGTCAGAAAGCTAAAGTCCTGGGAGGTAAAATGAGCTCAGTTGCCTCAGCTTTGGGGGCAAGAAACAGAGATTCAGCTTGGTTCAGTTATTTTCCCCAATATTATGACTGAAGGACGAGCAAGATGTCCAGGTGTCCTGAAGCCCCAGTCCGAAGGTCTTGTCTGACCTCATGGGAATTCCCTGGGGTCAGTCAAAATGCCAAGTCCTTGCTATTGGGCTTAAAGTCCAGGGGGAAGAGGGCAAACATGGTGGAAGAGTATCTGAACAATTTAAAGAACTCCAGAGGTTTTTCCAAGGCCCTATATTATACTGTGTTCATACATCTTATCTAAGTGTAAATGCAGTTCTCCATTTTAAAACTCTGAGAGAATCATACCAATGGGAATTAAATAGCACTTGGAAAGGCATTAATAGACTGTCAGAAAGGGAGCTCGGCACCCCTCTCAATATTCCATGTGTCTGTCACAACTCTACCTTTAATACTTACCTGACTTGGGGTTGCTGAACAGATATAATCTAGGATAGCTAATCATAACCTAAAGGTAATTACGAAAGATTCAAATAGAATCACAGAACATAACACTACTTGAAATTTTTTTCACTGTAAATAAGATTTTAAATTACAATTTTGTATAAAGTTTGAAAAAAAGAAAAATTTTTTGCTTTGAAGTTTTGCTTGTGAAATATTTCCTCAGAGAGGCAAAGAGTTCTCAATTCAGTTCCATGAGAAAACACAGTAACATTGCTATTACAGTTAAATCAATAAAGATCTTGAGTATAAAAAAAAGAAAGAAAAAAACCCACAATAACATTATAAAATTTTACTATACTTAAATGTTTCAAATGCATCCTTTTGGCTTTTAAAAATCTTACTAAACTTCTTTGGTGACTTCTAGGATTTCAAGCCAGATTGACAAACTTTAAGACAGACAATTATGAACCAGAGCAATCTTTCTTTCTGAGGCTACAAAGTGATCAGTGGGGGTCAGAGATGCCTGTTCAGAGGGACAAAGCTCTCCACAGAAACCCTAACACACATGATTTGGGGAATCGGTTTACCACATGACAATTTGGAGGTCTGGCCAGAAGCCCCGTAAATTCCACAATGGGAACACTCAACGCCCTTCCAAAAGAACAGAATCTACACTTCTGAAAAGAACGGGAGATTCAATTCACATTTTGGCCTCTGCAGTTCTCATTCAAGAGCTCTTAATGGTAAAGCCCTAGATATAGGAATGAAAACAAGTATACTTGAACCCTTAGATTGTTCTAATTCCAAGAAGAGAACATCAGGACAAGCCCCAGCTCATGGCAGCAACCCTACAATGGGCAGGAGTCCCCAGGGCCAGCCAGTGCTTCTGGCTCCTAAGCCTTGACAGCCTCTGCCACCCATGAGGTCCTGCTTTTGCTCGCCACAGCTCCAGGCACAGCACGGGGGACAACAGCAGTCACAACAGGGCAGGGAGGAGGGGCAGGAAAGCAAAGACTTTCCCAGCAGTTGCTCCACTCCCCAGGAACCTTTTATGCAACCAGCATACACTGGAACATTTGCACAGCATCCTATTTCTGTATACCTAATAATATTTTTAAACATGCTGGAGGAGGAGACTCCATGGAAGAAGGCTGTGTGGAATCTTTCTGTAAAGAGAAAACTGTGCTGCTTTTCAAAATCTCATTCCTGATTTAATTGTCTCAAAAATGCCTGGTTTTATTACATAGACTATACAAGAATGATTTTATCTCAGAGCTGAGCTCAAGATGACAGATGATGTGCTTGTGCCATGACCCCTAAGGGGGATCACTTGCACATCTCACTCGGGTCACACTAGGTCTCCGCGATGCCCCAGTGGACTTGATGACTACAGGATGCGCCCCAGATGATCCACAATAACATTATAAAATTTTACTATACTTAAATGTTTCAAATGCATCCTTTTGGCTTTTAAAAATCTTACTAAACTTCTTTGGTGACTTCTAGGATTTCAAGCCAGATTGACAAACTTTAAGACAGACAATTATGAACCAGAGCAATCTTTCTTTCTGAGGCTACAAAGTGATCAGTGGGGGTCAGAGATGCCTGTTCAGAGGGACAAAGCTCTCCACAGAAACCCTAACACACATGATTTGGGGAATCGGTTTACCACATGACAATTTGGAGGTCTGGCCAGAAGCCCCGTAAATTCCACAATGGGAACACTCAACGCCCTTCCAAAAGAACAGAATCTACACTTCTGAAAAGAACGGGAGATTCAATTCACATTTTGGCCTCTGCAGTTCTCATTCAAGAGCTCTTAATGGTAAAGCCCTAGATATAGGAATGAAAACAAGTATACTTGAACCCTTAGATTGTTCTAATTCCAAGAAGAGAACATCAGGACAAGCCCCAGCTCATGGCAGCAACCCTACAATGGGCAGGAGTCCCCAGGGCCAGCCAGTGCTTCTGGCTCCTAAGCCTTGACAGCCTCTGCCACCCATGAGGTCCTGCTTTTGCTCGCCACAGCTCCAGGCACAGCACGGGGGACAACAGCAGTCACAACAGGGCAGGGAGGAGGGGCAGGAAAGCAAAGACTTTCCCAGCAGTTGCTCCACTCCCCAGGAACCTTTTATGCAACCAGCATACACTGGAACATTTGCACAGCATCCTATTTCTGTATACCTAATAATATTTTTAAACATGCTGGAGGAGGAGACTCCATGGAAGAAGGCTGTGTGGAATCTTTCTGTAAAGAGAAAACTGTGCTGCTTTTCAAAATCTCATTCCTGATTTAATTGTCTCAAAAATGCCTGGTTTTATTACATAGACTATACAAGAATGATTTTATCTCAGAGCTGAGCTCAAGATGACAGATGATGTGCTTGTGCCATGACCCCTAAGGGGGATCACTTGCACATCTCACTCGGGTCACACTAGGTCTCCGCGATGCCCCAGTGGACTTGATGACTACAGGATGCGCCCCAGATGACTTACCTGAAACATTGGGTAGGTGAGGAATGTTTCCAGCATCCTCCCTTCACAGGCAGGGTTGGCTTCATACTGTTTTAAGAGTTTGTCAAAATCTCTGTTTTGCTTACAATTGGCGAGCACCTGGAGGCTGTACTGGTGATTACGCACAAATTCTTGATAAATGTTCAGCATGGGGAGCAAAATATCAAACAGATCAGCTGGAAAGAAGAAGTAAACATGGCAGTTTCTCTTGGTGCTTGGCACAGTACCCAATGGACAGGGAGACTGTGTTCACTCAACAGCACTGGCAGAGTGGCCCACAGCACCAGATGTCACTTATGGGTGGGCCTCAGTCCAGATGCCTGAATGACTGGTCAGGTAGAACACACCCGGGCAAAGCCTGACTCTAGCACCACAACAGGCCAGGGAAAGGGTTGAAAGGTTAATGAGATAGATTTCCAGTGCCTTAGAAAGCTCACAGGTCAACAGGGAAGGTCAGGCAGCTTAGGCTGGATAATGTGGAAGTTATTTTACTCTAATTGTAGCCATATTAACAGAAAACCTTATCTCTCTAAAGTATGCACTTACCTAAAATTAGAGTAGGCCAGTTAGCTATTCTTGCCTTCAGTCCTTGATGAAATATTTCATGAAGAAACATAATTGTTTCACTATAAAAAATGGAAAACAGATGGTTTAGTTACTGTGAAGCCTTTATTTGTTAAAGAAGTCCACTTAGTCCTTAAATCCTTAATAAATACATAATATGCATGTCTCCTAGGGCCTCCAAATTGTGTGCCCAATAATAACATGGATTGTGCTAGCTCCACAAAGCACTTTATCTTTCAGACAACCTCAAAAACTCACAGAAATTCTGAACTAAGCTTCAAATATTGGAAGACAGTAAGCCCCAAATCATTGTCATATAGCTTTCTTTATCAATTTGTAATAAAAATAGCTTTCTGCTGTCAGAATGTAGCACTTCAACTTATAATCAGAAAATTCTAGTTATGATATCTTTTCTCTTCAGATTTGATTCTAGATGACAACTCAGGGAATAGGCTCTCTTTCACTAAAATGAGTCTTGAAAGAAGGAGATGGGGGGAAAAATTCATGCAAAGTTTCAACAGGACTCTACTGTAACCACTCCTAACATAACCAAGACAGAAATGTAAAAGATCTTTTGAAAAGGATGGAGCTTACACAGGATACTAAAATGAGGACTATGCATAAATAAGAAATCCAAATTTCTAAAAGGTTCAAGAAGGGTGGTTACCAAAGTAACTTTTGCTTTCTCCTCACTAGGACTAACCTAGTGAGGAATAAGCCTTTGAAGCCTTTTCTGAACTAACACATCAACACAATCAATTACAGAATTATTCATGTCAGTGACATATTTTGTTTTATTATGGGTCAAATTCTATTACAAGACACATCAGTGGGAAGTCCTTACTATTTCCAAATGGTCCATGAACAAAATAGATTTCAAACTCATCAACAAATTTCATTGGATCTGTATTAAAAACACATCCAGAATCCAGCTATTTAGAACTATCTCCATTATAATCATCCCTTGTTTAGATTATCACAGTAGCCACATATATACACACACGCAAATGCAGGTGTATTTATACATCTGTATTAATCTCCAGGTGCCATCCTGTTTCTCTGCTCCTCTTTATGGCCACCCCCTCTTGTATGAGTTTTATACCAACTCTCTCCAATTCTGAAGCCCCTTTTCTCTTAAGTCCCCTCCAATCAGGATTTGGTCCCTCATCAAAGTTACCAGTAAGTTCCACATTGTTAAACCCATGGCCAGTTCTCAATTATCATTTTATTTGACCTTTTTGATATAGCTGTTCATTCTCTCTTGCCTTTATTTCCAGGACAAGCCATTCTCCTGATCTTTATCCTACAACCCTAACTGATCTTCTTCACTCTCTTCGGATGGCTCTTCTTCACCTTCCCAACTCCTAATGTTGACATATGCCAGGGCTCAGTCCTCGTTCCCCGTCTTTCATACATCCGTACTCACTCTGTTGGTAATCTCATTCAGACCAACAGCATTAAGTCCTATCCATACGATGTCCCAAATTTATATTTCCATTCCAGACTCTTACCCTGAACTCCAGACTAACATCCAATTCCTGCTCACTTGATTTCTCTTTTTGGATAACTAATAGCACCTCATGATTGATAGGTCCGAGAAAAAATTCTTTTATCTTTTACCCCAAACTTGTTCTTGCCTACCTCTTCCCCAGGAGCTCCATCTTTCTAGCTGTTCAGGCCAAAAATGTTGGACTTTACCTCAAAACCCACATCACACTCATTAACAGATTTTATTGGATCTATGTTAAAAATATACCCAGAATCCAACCACTTAGAATTACCCCCATTGCAATCATCTCTTGCTTAGATTATTGCAATAGCCTCCTAACAAGCCTCCCTGATACAATCATCTCTGTCCTGGTTCATTGAAATAGTCACCAAACTGATCTCCTTAAAGTCTATTCTCAATAGAGAAATTAGAGCAAGCTTTTAAAACAAGAGCCATGTCATGCTACTTTTCTCCTCAAAACCCCACCAATGTCTTCCATCTCATTTACAGTAGAAGTAGTCATCTTTGCAGTGTCCCACTGTTACCTCTCTGACATCCCCCTTTAGTCACACAGACCATGCCAGTTCCTCCAGCAAGCGAGCCAGGCCTGCTCTAGCCCCAGGCCCTTTGCAGGCAGTCTCTGCTGTCTGCATCTCTTCCCACATCAAGCCACATGGTTTGCTTCCTCCCCAACTTCAAGTCTTGCTCAAATGTTAACATATATTTGAGACCTTTCTGAACACTGGCTATAGGAAAACTATGGCACATTCACATAAAATAATATAATATACCAACTAGTTTTTTTTTTAAAGAAAGAATAATGCTCTTTAGATATCAATATAGAAAGATGACCAAGATATATCGATAAGTAAAAAAAGAAGTACATACTAAAGTACATTACCTTTTGCGTAAGAAGGAGAGATTAAGACTTGAAATTTATATTGGATTGGATCTATATCAAGAAACACTGGCACGATATTTAAGAAACTAATGAAAATGGTTATGTGCAGGAAGTGGGGAAGTGGGGAAATGGGGTAGGCAGAGACTCGATAAACATGAGACTTCTGACTGCTGTTTGATGTTTTCATGTTGTTTTGATTTTTGAAGCATATTAATGCATTATCTACTCAAAAATAAATAACTAAAATCTTACCCAAGCACCTCCTTTCCCTCTTTTCTCCTTCCCTTTATTTTTTTCCATATACTCATCACCATATACATTTTACATACATATTTTCCTTATTCACTATTCATTGTCTTCTCACATTAAAATTTAAGTTCCATGAAGGCAGGGATTGTCTGCTTTGCTCACTGATGAATCAGCAGTAAGGATACTAAAGAAGTTTACTGAGCAAATAAATGTACTAGAGATTCTCAGGTCCCCAGTCAGTTTTTGCTCTTCCTAAAATACTTCTGCATAAATTACATATAAAGACCCATGAATGACTCCATTTCTCTCAGTTTATCAAGGAGGTTATCTTCCCCAACATACACCCAAAGCCACACACACACACAATCACAAGAAAATATAGAGAAGAATATATATAGTCAAAAGGAGAAGAAAAACAGAAAACTAGATGCCAAGATTCAAGATAAAATATGTAAATTTGGACTAATAATTAAACACAAATGATGTCTTCTCATTTTCAGTACCATAAAGCCATAAAGGCCATAAAGGTGAATTTCTAATACCTATCCTTTTAAGACTAAAGTAAAAGTTCTGTTAAGAAATACAAAAGCGTTTCTCACATGACTTTTTAGCTTATGCCAAGACAAACCTGTTGAGAAAAATACTGCTGACATCATCGTGGCTGATGGGTGGCTTTTTGGAGCTGGCGGCCATCCGCAGGGGCCGGAGGAAGCCATTGACCAGTATGCAGAGCTGGTGAACATACTCTGACTCGGCCTCAACCATGGTGAACACAATCTGGTTTCTCTTCCTCATACTTTCCGCATGAGGAGAACAAATGTAATCCTGCACGATGGTCTTCCATTTCCTTCTACACAACCAGCCTCGCATGAAGCTCTGAACCTACAACAACAACAAAAAAAGGTATCTTGGGAGGTGTGAGACTGGCTTTCTTCAGGGTTTTCATCCTGTGCCAGATAAAACATGGCTCTTTTATTGATGCACTAATGGCCCCACCACTAGAATAATAATGGCAGGCTTTTCCCATATAGCAGAAAAGAGATGAAAAACAGTATTTTTCTCAACTTTACAAGTTTTTCCATAGCTTATGCTCTTTTGGCCTGCCTATATGATACCAGAATATAATAATAGTACCTATATAGTTATTAACATTTCAGGAAAGGAACAAGTCGGAGGTTTATTTTTTAACAATATAAAATTAGATTAAAAAATTTTTAATTGTGGTAAAAAAAAGTACAACATAAAATTTACCATGTTAACCATTTTAAGTGTATAGTTCAATAGTGTTAAGTAGATTTGTCATACAACAGATCTCCAGAACTTTTTATCTTGGAAAACTGAAACTCTATACCCATTGAACAACTCCCCACTTAGCCCTCAGCCCCTGAGAACCACCATTTTACTTTCTGTTTCTGTGAATTTGACTACTTTAGATGCCTCCTGTAAGTGTAATCATACATTCCTGTCTTTTTGTGACTGGCTTATTTCACATAATACAATGTCATCAAGGTTCATCCACATTGAACCATGTGCCAGGATTTCCTTCCTTTTTAAGGCTGACTATTCCATTTTATATAAGTATTACATTTGTTTATACTTTCATTGCTGATGGGTATTTGGGTCACTTCTACCTCTTACTTATTATGAATAATGCTGCAGTGAACATGGGTGTGCAAATATCTCTTCAACACCCTGCTTTCAATTCTTTTCAGTATATACCCAGCAGTAGGATTGCTAGATCATATGGTAACTCTATTTTTAATTTTTTGAGGAACGACCATACTGTTTTCCAGAGTGTTTGAACCATTTAACAATTCTGCCAACAGTTCACAAGGGTTCCAATTTCTCTACATCTTCATCAACACTTGTTATTTTCTGGGGTTTTTTTTTTTTACTTTATAGTCGTCATCCTAATGGGTGTGAGGTGATATTGCATTGTGGTTTTGATTTGTATTTCTCTGATGCTTAGTGATGCTGAGCATCTTTTCATGTGTACATGGTTTCAAGTCCTTTGCCCATTTTTAAGTCATGTTATTTGATTTGCTGTTGTTGAGGGTTTTTTAAAATGAAGCTTAAAAAACAATTGTTAGACATCAGCTCATCTGACCCCTTCCTTTTGGAGATGAGTAAATTAAATTTCATTGTAAGTCACAGGAAAGCTGCAACCAGACTTGGCATTCTTTTACCTGCTTTGTGTAAACTGTAAGGATTCTTTTTCCTAGCCACATGGGCAAAACACTTGTTAACAATGTGCAATAGTGATTATTTTGTAAAAAGAAACATGAAATATAATTAAAAATCAACTTTGTAGAAAACATGACAGCCTCTAAAACTGATCTGAGTTTCCTAGGAAAGACTCGGAAAATAACAGGCAAATCTGAGAAACTGCACTGGCCTGTGCATTTCAGCCAACAACTATTTACCGAGCATCTTTTAAATGCCCAGGTAAATGTTGGGTGCTAAGCATACAGGTATATATTATAACCCTTAACCCAAAGGCTCTGACACTAACCTGCTGGGTCACCTTGAACTCTGATGCCCCATTTCCTCATCTATAAAATAACAGACCAAAAAAGAAACCCACAAAAAACAAAAACAAAACCCTGAAGTCCTTTATAAATATTTAAAAGTATATGATATTTATTAGGGTTTGTTATATCTAGTGGAAGATTCAACAAAGCAGGTTGCAAATTCACATATAATTGAAAACATTAAATAACTATAAAATCTCTTTTAGTATCATTACCTATCCAACACATTCCTATACTTTTTATTTTTCCATACTATTCACCCAAATGGTCTAAAGTATGTTTTTTTTTGCAATGTTTAAAATTCTCTCATTTACCTACTAATGTTATCAGCAGACTATAAATGTTCATACAACTGCCATACTTCAAGCAATAAAAATTAACCAGATTTTAATAAAATTATATGGGAAAAATTATATGCATATTATTTGCAGAAACCTAATGGAAAGTTTCTGTGAAATATAATCAATTTCGATCTTTGGTCTCTTGAAGTTTAAAATTATTTTGTTTACCAAGATAAGAATGGAGAAACTAATTCATTTTAAACACTCTTTTCCACACAGATATTAGGTTGATTTATGGCATAAAGGACAATAAAGTTAATTTCAAAACCTATTTAATGAGCTTAAAAATAGCTTTTTTAAATTAATTCTATTAAGAAATATTAAGGTAGAAAAAATTTTTTCATTACTTATTTTATCATTCTTCCACTTAACAGAAATATTTTAAAAAATCAGCTTAAATGGATTTGATATTAAATAAAACCTTTCCATTTACTTGGGCAGGAATTGCCTGCTGAGCAAAAGCTGCTTCACTTACTAACAAACCAGTTTCTACAACAGAACTAAAAATTGTATTGCATTGATACCTTTGTTTACATGCAACTTCATACTATTAAAAGAAAGGTAATAGCATTAGTCTTCTAATGCAATACATAAACCAAATTCAATTAAAAAATTTTAAATTCTAAGAAAGGAATGGATTTTACGTTTTTATTTCTAGAAAACTGAAAACATTGCCATTTAGTCCTAAAAAGCATTTTTATTTCAAATTACCAATATTTAAAGTTTTGTTATAATTAAAGGGGAATAAATAATTATTGAACATAAAAAAAACAGGATAAGAAAGAAATACGAAATAAAGATTTGAAGGTGTGCATCCAAGAAAAATTCTTTAACTGTGAAGCTTTGCACATGACATTAACAAAATTGAGTATGTGATTTACACAGGATAATTAGGATTATGGAACTTAAAATCTAGATGACATAAATCAAACAGTAGATTAGAGTGAGTGCCAGTGTCTGATTAATCACAAAAGTTATACAGCATTATACAGCAATAAATGATGGTAAGATGGAAAGATCTGATGATTATGTGGATGTTAAACAAGAAAGAAACAACAATAAAAAAGATCTGAGCAGATGTATTGATTTGCTCAGTCTTCTCACATGTTAAAGAATAATCTTTTCTAAATAAGCACTGAAGACTAAAGCTAAAAGAAATATTTTTGAAATGTAATTTCAAATAATAGTCCCTGGCCAAATATGAAAGAAGCACAAAATCAGAGTTCAACAGCATTTAATTAACCAAAATGGAGAACACTGTTATCTTAATGTCTGGTTTTGATATCCTTCCCACAGAGTGCAAAAGGGGGTTCCCAGAACTGGAAAGAAATCTCAAGCTGAAACTTCTCCCTCCAGAGCAGCAGCCCTCACTGCTGATGAGCATGTCTGAGAGCCATTAGAAGAGAAACACCAAGGTTGTTCTCAGCTCAGGGTCAGGGCGGCAAAGACATCACTACAGAACAGACACTTGGTTGCCATGATCTCCCAAAGCTAGAAACCCTCAGCTTCCTACCTTTTTAATCTTCTTGATGTCCGGATCTTCATCTTCTTGATTACTTTGATAAGGCCGCATTCGTTCCTTGGTTTTATTAAGGGCGATAATCTGTAACACAAAATTGGTCTGTTTCATGGTTTGGGAAATAATGGATTATAGTCAATAACCCATAGAAAGTTATGCCTACAGGGCAAATAAGATATTTACAAAATAAGATACTAGGGAAACTTTCAATTATTTTTTATGTATAATTGACCTAAAATATTATATTAGTTTCAGGTGTACAACATAATGATTCGACACTTAAATACACTATGAGATAAGCCTAGTTACCACCTGTCACCATGCAAAGTTATCACATTATTATTGAGTACATTGCCTATGCTGTCTTTACATCCCCATGACTTAATTATTTTTTATAACTGGAAGTTGACCTCCTACTCCCCTTCGCCTTTTTCGCCTATGCCCCCATTCTCCTCCCCTCTGGCAACTGCCAATTTGTTCTCTGTATTTGTGAGTCTGAGGAAACATTCACTTTTTATGTATCCCTTTTCCATCAGTGCTGAGGCAGGGGAAGAATGAACTTCATGCCAAGCCTGTTTGTATATGTTGCCAACAGAAGTGCTTATAAGAAATGACTGTGGAAAGTGTGAACTGGGATCAGCCTTAGGAGAAATGTCAGCCCGAAACTTGGCCCTGACTGCCAGTGATGACCAGGTCATTTCCTGGAGCTGAGGCACATAAGCAACCACCTTGCCCAAGGGCAGCTTCCTGTAATGCCCTGTGGTCTCCAATTACAATGACCCTCAGCAGCCTGCAGCCTTCCAAGTACACACAGTAGAGCAGACATACAGATCTCCCTGGGAAAATGGTGACGAGCCCTGGGGTTGGTCAAGTTAGCCAAGGAAAGGCAAAAAGGGAAAAGATTGAAACAGCCAGGGATCTTTTTACATCTCTAGCTCAGCTCTGTTACCTACGGGAGGCAACTTGAGACCAGGTGGCCTCTCAACTATACTTAGTAATAAAATTTACTAGGCCTCCACTCCATTGCAGGATAACAAGCAAGCACTTAAAAAGCGAAGAGACATAATTCCCCCTCTGAACTGTCTTAACATTTTGCCCTCTATACCAAATACACATCTTGCCATTTTCTGGCAATCTATATTCAGACTAAAATAGAACATAGTGAAGATATATAAGCACACACAAGTAAATACTGGGGGGCACTGCTGAGTTTCTCTCATAGAGTAAATGCCAACCTCTTTCCCTTAGCAGACACGCATCTGCTCTAGCTTAGTGTGGCAAAGAAGAACACAATAATCTTGTTTTAAATTATAGTGCCTGATATAGTCTTTTAAAATGCAGGTTTGTTAAGTTTTCTGTTGCTTTCACTCTATCAGATTTCAGGACTGAATCAGGAAGTTAGCAACACTAATGATATGGTGAACATGGTCTGCAACTTATTACTGGAGAGCAATCAGATACCAGTCAGAATCAGCCTATACCCATGCCCCGTACACTGGAGGTGATGGACACAGGCAGCAGATGGAAACCTCTCCCAGGATTCCCAGAGTATTTCTAAAGGAAGGTGTGAGGAAACAAAGAGAAAAATGTTGTCCAAGGACAATAAAAGGGACAAGAAAGTTATCTAGACTGAGGAGGCTGAACTGTTCTGTCAACAAGGACACAATTAGTAGTAGGTTTCATTCTGCCCTAGTCTTCTCTTTGAAGCTTAGAAGATGCGAATGCACCTCTAGTTAGAAAGAGGGGGAATCTGCATTCCTCTTCAGTTCTTCACCACTTCCCACAAGGAATAACAGGACAGCAAGGAAAGGTACATCCAGGTTTCTGTATATACAGACAGAGGCCCTCTGGAGAGGAGGAAAACCACCAGGGCCACAGATTCCACAACTGCCTTCTGCTCTCACTTGGCATCAGTCATACCACCTGCAGGTGCAGGGCCTACGCAGTTCACACTCAGTGGGTCTAAGAAGAAGTGAAGGGAGGCAGGAATTCCAACTTCAGGAAAAAGGGCACCCTAGCAAATATCTTATATGTTAACTCAAACATGTTTTTCAAAATTCTAGAAGGGAGGAAGTTGGACTCAGATCTAGACAAAGTCTTTCTGAATTTGTTTTTGGTCCTTCCTCAGTTATCATTTTGGACTTTAGTTAAATCTATGGCTGACTCAGAATTATTGTTACTGCAAGAGTCAATCTGAAAACAGTTAAATATTATAGTCAACTTGAATATCTGATCAGGAGCACAAGTAATTAAAAAATAATGTATCATCCTGACATCTTATTGTAGCGTATTTACCTAATCCTAACATAGATATTAGATTCATTTCTAATGTAGGTAAATAGCCCGGCCATGTACATGTTGGCAGAGGAACTAAGTTTGGGGTTAAATTTTTGCCCTGAGAGGCTTAAGTAATCATGAAGAGATGACAACAAACATGAAACAATGAGAAGGAATCGATCAAGTGGGACATACCTCTGATTTAAGCCTTTCGATTTCTGTATCTTGATCTTCAAGTTGATGCCGGAGTTGGTTAGCTGCAACTTTTTCTGTCTCTACGATCTGAACTAGATGAATGTACTTCTGCATTAACACTTCCCTCTCAATCAAAATATCTGCATAACTTAAGAGAAAATTATAGTTAATCATTAAGATATTGTTCTACTACAGTTTCATATAGAACAGCATACACTACATTTAAAAAAGAAGCCATAAACATAGTTTGTTGGCTAACTCTCTGTAAACATTAACTTTTGGCTTACATTGCTATCCTTTAATTTATAGAATTTGAATCATTACAATCTTACATATCCTTTACTAAGAATTCATTTAATGAGGGCTATCACCCACAATTTTATCAGATGAGTGCAAAGGGAATCTATTATTTTATAAAGAAAATAGTGTATCTCCTTTAATAAAAACCGAAGTCTTTAAATTGATGGCACATACTTGGTTTCCAGAGATCATATTCAAAGTATTTCACTGAGTAAAGCCCTAGGCAATCAGAACAGACTTGCCACGAAGCTGAATGAATGCAGTGACCATCAGAACAGGCATGGCTAGAAAGAACTGTGATAACTGTACCAGTGACCACCAGCCCTACTTGATTCTCTTTAGGATCGTGATAACATTGACTTCTCTCTCTCCAACACCAACACCAGCAAAAATCACATTCTAAGAATAAGTATAGATTCTTGGGCACTAAGATCATCAGCCTAACCCTTGTCCATTTCTTCTGCCAAGTGTAGTAAAGGCAACTTATTATTGACTATGTAATTCTGTGGCGGCTGGAATTTTGCCTCCACATCTTCCTACACTATTCAGGGTGATAAAATGTATGTTCCTATACTCACATAATCTTTCCCAAATGATATGACAATAGTAATAATCAATAATAATTACTGAGTGCATAGGACATATCCTATATATTCTCATCTTGTCCTCCCAGAAACTCCAGGAGACAGGTTTTATCATCCCAATTGCACAGAGAAATAATTTGAGCCTCACAGAGGTTACACAGCTAGTAGGTGGCAGGGTCGGGATTCAAATCGAGGTCTGTCGGATCCTAAGCCCATGTTCTTAATAATAAGGTAAACTATCCCTCTAATGAGAAATAGTGCACTGGATATAAATAAGAATGTTACAGGAGACATTTTTTGAGATATCTGCCCAATCACCCACCCACTTCCCTCTTCTTTGGGAAGTTGGGCCATGGCAGCCAACTCAAGCTACAGCAATTAGACGCTTTCTCCTTGGAATCTGGGATTGTGCCTCTGACCTACTTGTTTGCACTGAGATGCTATGAACTTGGAAGCTCAGGTTACCATTGTTGGGCAGCCATAGCTGGCCATACCCATGCCAAAACAAAGAGAGCCTGCTAAAAAAAGAATAAGCAGATGTTCAGGAAAACAGAGACAACAGAGATAAAAAGTCTGACACTGAAAGGTAATGGCTACCTGGTTCCCATTGGCTTCTGGTTTCTGGTTCCTTCATATCCAAATACAATTTTTACCCTAAAGGTCTGTGAGATATTGCAGTTTCCATCTAATAAATTCTCTTTAACTAGTTCAAAATTGGTTTGCATTATTTGGAACCAAAAGAGTCTTAAGACAATTCTAAAATCACAATTTTAGTTCAATTATCTCAACATCCTCAGCACTTACATCATGTGTGCTATTAGTGTTAGAAAAAAAATAGTGTCAGCAATTTCTTAAGTCACTTGTTCTAAGAAACTACCTTAAAAGAGCAAAAAGAAAGGCTGTATGAGAAAGAAGGGTTAAAAGAAGGGAAAAAAAGGAAGTAGAATCTTCATAGAAATATGTTTTTTGGAACTTAAAAGGGAGGACATAATAGAGCAAGGGAAAAGTAATTATTATAACAAAAAATTCTGTACTTTCACATAAATGTTATTAGAAATAGACCAAATTTATTACAAATAGATTAGATCAATGATAAGTAGCACAACAATACTTTATTCTCTCTTGTAAAAAGAAAAAGTCCAGTTCAGGATGTACATTTGAGCTCATTCAGACTCATTGCTGACATCTGACTCCCTTCACTCCCAAGATCCCATTGAAATGCTAGAAAAATTGTTCTGTTTAAAGAATGAAACCATTATAGCATTATAAAACAGGAAGATATGCCATCAACAGACCAGAAATTCCAGGAAGAGGAAAACCAAGTAGAATCAGAGTGGTGGGGAAATCACAATAGAGGAAACTACAGCTGCAGACACATTGCATAAGCATGACTCCCACCAAGAGTGGCCAGAGAAGCTCCAGGTCCAGAATCAACACACACGAAGTACAAAAGTAGGTAAGAAGACTACTGTAAGGGCCTTTCATTTAAACAAGTGCCTTCAGAACATCTGGCAGTTGGGTTCTTCTATTCCCATCCCCCAAAATAAAGAAGTAAAAGGCACAACTGGAAATAGTGACAATTGCTCAAGTCACAGCCCAAGATCCGCTCCCTGTAGAAAGGGAACCACCTTCCAGAAGAAGGCTCTTAAGGAGGAAGCTGGGGTCAGGGAGAACAGAGTTTGGCTTTCTACCAGACACCCATTGTAGACACAAGAGAGAACCAAAAAAGCAAAGGCTTTTTATTTTATTTTATTCACTAAGGATGTAAACCTAGCTAACAATCACATGAATAGACCTGGAAACAGATCCTTCCCCTTGAGCCTTGAGATGAGACGGCAGACCCACCCACACTCTGACTGTCACCTTGTGAGGGATCTTCAGGCAGAGGCACCCAGCTAAACCGTGTCTGGATTCTTGAGCCACAGACATTGTTGAGGATAATACATTGTTTATTGTTTTATGAATTGTGAAGTAAACTGTTAAAACAGCAATAGAGAATAAGTACAGCCCCAAATAAACAAACAGAAAAGATACTAGGGAAACAAGGCTAATTCAGGCAACAGATATTTACTATCTTCAGAGAGATACAGAAAGGATATTAAGGCCATAGAGTAAAAGGGGCTACCATGAAAAAGAAGATAACAAGAAGAATTCTTGGAAACAAAAGATTATTCAAATTTTACAGGTCAATAAATGTGCTGACCAATGAATAAACATGGCTGAAAACTAAGTGGGGTGATTGGAGAGATAAAGAACACCGAACAAAAATAAAAAAAGATTGGAAATATTAAAGAAAAACTGAGTCACATGAAAAAAAGATCCAAGAGATCTAATATCTGTCTTATAAGAATTATAGAAGGGAAAAAACAGAGCTGTGATTGGGAAAAAAATAATTAAGAAGTGGGAGAAACTTCCCTGAATTGAACACGGCTCAGGTCAAATAGAAAGGATAATCCAAATGCCAATCAGAATAAATGAAAAAAACTTCATACCCTGACACATCCTGGTAAAATATCAGAATTCTATGGATTGAGAAAAATTACAAAAACTTCCAAAGAGAAACCACAGGTTATCTAAAGAAAGTGAGAATCAACATAACATATTTCTCCTCAGTAACCTGGGATGCTAGATCATAGAAGAGAATCAAAGAAAAAGTATTTTGAACCTAAATTTCTGTACCCAGGCACCCAAGCAACCAACCACATGCCAATTCAAGATAGAAAGTTCACTACTGACACATTTAACTCAGAATAAAAATTATAAGGAGGTTTTCCAACCAAACAAAACAGAAAACAAAGATAAAAGATGACATGTGATGCAAGAATACAAACCAGATGAAATAAAGGAAGCTAGAAAATTAGAGGTTAATACCTGCAAAATTCTCCTTCAAGGAGCAACTATTCAATTGCATATGATTACATTTCATTCTCTGTGGAGCCCAACAAGAGTCTTGATACTTTGGTACATAACATTTGTATAACCATGATATAAATGTTCCTCAGTGTTTTTTCAGAATAAACAGAATCTTAATTAAATTTAGAGAACAGAAAGTAAACATTTAAAAGTATATACATAGAGAATAAATAATAATGAAAGTAATAAAACCTCAGGGGTAGAGGATAGAAAAGAACAATAAAAACATATTAAATGTCTTAATTTACTTGTCTTTCATAGCAGAGAGTCAATACATACTGCTCAAAGTTGATAAACTAATAGAAGTTTAATTATATTATAAATTCAACCATTTTAAGAGCCAAAGAATAAGTAAGTAACAAAAACAGAGGGGACAAAGGGAAGGGAGGTAAGAGGTATCGTTCAGGTGTTAAATTCCTCATCTTAACAACAAGGAGCCAATAATACTGCCTACAATTATTAAATCAAGAAATAGACAAAAGGACTTCCTAGAATATAATATATGAATAACTGATAAATACAGGGAAAGGTTCCTACTTAAGGAAGTAAAAATTTATCAAATTTGGGCAAGAGTTTTACAAAACACTAATAATCAGACCAGTACAGATCAGGTAAAATGGGTACTCTCTACCTGAGTGAGCCATTCTAGAAGACAATATCACAATATGTATCAAGGCAGGTTAGAAAGGTCATATCCTTTTTCATAGTAATTTCATTTCTAATAACCTAACCCAAGGAAAATAAACAGACTTGCAAAGATGCACAAAGAAACAAGATATCCATTCATCAAAACATACAGGAAACTGGAAACAATCTATATATATTGCACAGATATTATATATTACATAGATATTATATATATATAAAACATGGAAGTGCTTACAAGTAGTAGTACATCTACACAATGGAATGATACAAGCCATTTATAATCATAATTTTAAAGAATGGTTAACATAACAGACCACACCCAAGATCTACTAATAAATCAACAATAAAAACCCCCAGAAGATTAAAGTAAATATGATGTGTGCATGCACACACACGTGTTCATATGCAGAGAGAGGAAATTATGTACAATCACAGATGTAAGCGGGTGGGGAGCATGGGGGAGACAGAAAGACAGGCACTCCAAGTGAGAGACACGGCAAAGCACAAAAAGGAGTTTTTCTGGGTGGAGCAATTATGAGTGATTTTTTTAATTACTTCTTTTGTGCTTTCCTGTATTTTCCAACATCTCTGTAATATTAAGTTGAAAAAAAGAAAAAACACAAATCTTAATGGCAGTTCTTCACTTGGCAGGATTATGTGATGTTTACTTCCTTCTCTATATGTGCCTGTGGCTCCATATTCA